AAGAAGAAATAATATTCGCTGAGTCTAAGTTTTTCTTATCTACATAATATATCTTATGGTTTACGTATAGAAGAAGTGTTGTATTTCTTAGAAATCCGATTGTTTCTTAACTACAATGGTCGATATATGTTTTTTAGTTTATTTCTTTTACTTTCTATTTTTTCAACCATGACAAATTCCCATATTACAATAGAATCAATTTATTCAATCGAGAAAATGCAAATTGGGGAAGTTTATTTACAAAAGTTGGTCAGTTTTCCAATGTAATCTCTCTCTCTCTCTCTCTCTCTCTCTGTGTTACTTTTATTTTCTTTGTATCTGTGAAAAGAAAATATCAATAAGAGTTCCATTTTGTATCAAAAATAAAAAAAAGTAATATACTTTTGGAGAGAACAGTTTTTTTTTATTTTCCTCCCTCCGCACCTAATTATTCCCCTCTCGTTCATCATCTATCGGTCCCAGTTGGAAATTAGTAAAGAGAAAGCGAAAAGATTTTCAAGGGAATCTAACAATTTGGTAAATTTTTAAGACCAAATATGGCTTCTGAAATTAACGCATGGGGCATGAAAAGTGCACTGATAATGACATTAATAATATTAATTATTCTCCCACTGAAAGATTAATAAATTAATTAATATGGCTAGCTATTAGCAAAACTTGAAGAGGCTTTTTTTTTCTCACTTTTTTTTGTGATAAACTCTAAAGGTTACCTTCTCAAGTTGCAATTAACGTCTTAAAACTTTCTCCTATTTATTAAATGCCTTTTTTTCAATAGGGGTTTTTTTGCTACAACATAGCCTCTCAAGTTATGTTTCCTTAAAACATTCTTGCAAGTAGTTAGGGATACTACTGATGCTAATTTAGAGGCTGATAAAATTTTTTTTTGCTCCCCAGAAAGGATTTCTGCTAGAAATAAGGCATAATATTCTCTTATCCCGCTCACTTGATTTGGGTGGCCTGCCACATCTGGGTAAATCTTCAATTGTACGATGCAATTGAAACTTTTTTCAGATATTTTGGGCACTGATCCTCGAAATATTTAGCATTTTGGCAATTTTATTCAATGATAGCCCTTCTTGGTGTTTTTCAACAACCAAATGACGAATTCCTTTATCAATGACCACCATTTTTTTGAATAACCAAAGATACAATTATAATAAGATAATTTCCTATTTGTATTATGCAGCTTAGCATTTGCCTATACTGTCTATATATTTTATTCAGAAAAAGATAACAGTCTCCTTATTCTCGTTTCAGATTACGTTGAAAATGGGCGTTAGGATCATATACATACGTACAATACGTAAGAGGTAACTCTGATTAATGTCAGGATAATACCCGAACAAAAACAACGATGAGACAGACTTTGAATATACATGAGGCCTTCAATCAGGACAGTATTCGCCTAAGGAATAAAATACTTGTCATTCACTTCGAGACTGACCAAGCCTTTGTTGTCTAAAAATATCCAAAATAGAGATATTAAATATGATACTGTTATTCTAAAAGGGGATTACTAGTTGTGGTTTAAGTAAACGTCAGATTTGTTTGTAATTAACTTCTTTTTTCTAAACGAAAATTAAGAAATACTATATTCAATATACTTAATGAGGAGATATTTTGATTTTTGATTTTTTAAGACAAAAAGACAAACATACAGAAAAACAACAAAAACTTTTTAACTTTGACAAACATTAAAAGAAGAAAAAAGCTGTAAAGAATGAGCTAAACACAAACTTTTGATCATACTTTGCAGCTTTTTTACTGAAGTTTTATTAAAATATACAAAAAGACATTTTAAACTGTAGATCTACATTATTTATTGACAAGACTTTGGTTACAATGATACAGACTTCTTCGTATTAGTAACGTATCTAGAATGAGGTCATTTCTGTATCAAAAATATGCTTCTAGGCATATTTCTAGGAGAAGCAAGAGGGAAATTATATTCAAATATATTCGTAAAACAAGCCATCGAAGAAGTGCGTCGAATATTTACCGTTTGTCTTTTCGATAAATGACAACTAAAAGCACACGAATATGGAGTATATCATGTAGGGAAGAAGGCGAGAGGATAGGGAGTCGGAAGAGGCGACAAAGAGACATTTATCTGATACTATGTACGCATAAAATAAGAAGGAAGAAAAGGAAGGCAGGTGATGAGAGAGAGGTTTGGGAAAAGTTTGTTTTCTGTAGTCTCTGTGAAGTCTGAGAATTTGTCTGGGGTCGATGATCTGGCAATCCAAAATGACATTTTCTAATACAAAAGAGTATTAGAGGGTCATTATGCGCGGTATAAAAGTATCTGTTATTACATAGGGTAGATGTATTTTAGACTATGGATAGATATTAGAATTTTGCCTCGAATTTTGTTACCCTTAGGACCTTTTGCATGCGAATGCTACATTATCCAGGCAAAGTCATTGATAGACTTTTCGTCTAATTTTCCTTAGCTTTTGCTCCCTTTTCAGCTTTTGTGCGCTTTAAACCATAAATCAAGCTCATGATAGTGATAATCGTTGCAGCTTATTTTTAGGCTAAGACATGTTTGCAGGGGATTCTCGAAACATTTTCTGACCTAAGTCTCCACTAAAGAGCTTTTGTGATTGTTTGTCAAAAGCATTTTTTTACTTAGTATAATTATTGAAGGACTCATTTAGGGTCTATTTCCCATACTCCTAAGTTGAAGCTCATTTATCATTTATAACAAATGGAGCTCAAAGCATTTTCTTATTTATAAAATCAGAGAGACGGGCGTTGTACCGGAAAAAATTTAGAAGGACGAACGGCTGATAGGATGAAAGAGGTTACGTCAAGGCCAAAAGTGGAAACAATAATATACCGTATATAGGTGATATCTATAGACTAATTTTAACACAAACGTTCGCTTATATAGATCATGAAAGGCTCTATAAAAATCGACATAAGTCGTAAGTGCCTAATTATGTAAAAAATTTTCCTCTCTTCGAGTTTAAAAATAGAAAATATAAAGAATAAGAAGAGATAAAAAAATTGGATCGAATGATCCTGGAAAATAAATCCCAATAATCTCCAACATTTAATGTTTACTGCCGGAAGATTATTGGTTTACTGATTTAGAATATAACACTCTTTTCATGAAGTAAAGCAAATACAAGACTGTGCGAATAATCCATGTGCAGTTCGATTTGAAATTTTCGATTCCTCCCTTTCAGTCGAACCGATATATTGAATATAAACAATCTCAATTTTGAAGAATATTGAAAGAATTAATAAATATACGTATATATTTATGTATATATATTTGTACAAATAAAAGGCTTAAGTGTAATAAACTAGTTGTATAATGAGGAGAAGAAGAAGAAGAAGAAGAAGGAGGAAACAAGAAGAGGAAGAAGACGAGCCTATTCATATTAGCCTTGTATATTTTTATTTTTTGGACAATTTGTACCCTAGTTTTGGAAATTGAATATTATATATTCTCTATATGGTGCTTATCAATAGTTGTATTGATTAGTCTACTGTTCCCCATTTCCGGATTATATTGATTTTTAAGTGTCATTTCTTATGATTATTACTATTTCCATATAGTGGTTATTATTTTCATTTTGCATTACTTAGCACACTTTTCTTGTTTGATTCATATTGAAAATGAATATCCCATAGACATTTAATTAATTATCTCTTGTTTCTAAATCTATACTATATATATAAATATTATAGATAACAGCTAAGTAAGAGTAGTTAAGAATGACATACTATTGATCTGATGATTTATGACACAGCATTCCTATAATCAAAAACTCGTTAATATACAAGTTACAAATTGTATCTTTCAACAGAAAGATAACATATAATCCCTGCGCATAGCTTTCTTTTTCTTTCTATTGCGCAATTCTTATCCACCGCATAAAAAAATTTTAACGGAAATTTGTTTGTTAATATTAAATGTATGATAAAAAATAATAAAAAAAATACAACACCATAGCAACGTATCTTTAAAGCTTCTATAATTTTGCAATAGCGTCTATTACGCCTATAGAAAAGACAACCTTGTAAAGACTAGTAAGATACCTTATTATCTACTCGATTTAATTGTTCGAGTTATCATTTTGTCGTTGTTTATCTATTTGCTGCCAAAGAAGAAAAGAAAAATCCTTTACACTGTTAGCGTTTAGCTGGTCGATAAATATTCAAGCAGCTCTGTCTGATTATCTGCTCAGTAAATAATTTACGAGTTTTCATATGCCAGTAAAGAAATCAATGATGAAAAAGTAGAGTGTTTTTATTTCCTACCTCCCTCCCTTCTTCTCTTCCCTCTCCTCTTCTTAATTTCGTAGTCTACATGGAGCAAAAGGATATTAATTAATTATCTAATCTACAAAGTTACGTTTTACTTGAAATAATTTCTTAGATCTCTTCCCAATTCCCATAATTTTCAAATCAATAATTTTTGAAACAAGAACGGAAAATTTTGACTCGAAAACAGTTATTTTTAATATTAAATAGAATTAGGGAAGAAAAAATCTGCAAATAGGCTATGAAAGGTTCTATTTTAATAATTCAATAATATTTTTTATATAACTGTATAGTATAGTATGTTCTTAATTAAAATTTATTACACTTTTTCTCTTTAATTTTCAATTATTTACTTAAAAAAAATTTCAATAAGGCAAACAATAACGTTCACGTATAGATAGAAGATTTTCTCTTAAATGAACAATATATTATACATATAGACATACAGACACATTTATATATAGTATATATGTTTTGAATGAATATTTTTCATATTATTATCATGCACCTAAAAATTCATAAAATATTGAAATAACGTTCATTAGTTATAAATACTAAGGCTTTCTAATATTCAGTGTATACTGTATAGTTTGTATAAAACACTTTAGCTGTATTATGTTTTGTTGGGAGAAAAAAATCAAATAGGGTGCGTTGCTGGAGAAAGACTTATCAGTGATTGGTGCGTCTATAGTATATTTAACATTGGAGAGGGCGTTTTTTTCGCAGTGTTGCAGTTGCAAAGCGATCTACTACAAGTCAAACATGCTTGGCAGGAAGGTTTGTTTACTTCTTTTTGTAAATGGGATATGTCTGATTTCCTTGAACTGTGTTGGCTAAGTATATTAATGGCTATTTTACAATTATTATTATATTTATATATATATATATATATATCAATAAATAAAAAGGAACAAACTTTTTAAACAAGAAAAAAAAATACACTAGAAGAGAACAGTAAAGAAATGGAATTTTCTTTTCTTTCAATTTCTTCTATTTCTCTTCTTCTGCGTAGTTTGTATAGGGAATGGTAGTCATTTGGATTTTAACGACGAAATTTGTCAATGTATAACACTACTTTCTAGTAGTTAGGTGAAGTTTTTCAAGAAAGAAAACCTAACGATGTTAATTGAATAATTGTAAAGTTGTTGGTTTAGCTAAAATTAATATCTTAGAAACATTTCTTCATTTGACCTTTTCTTCTCTTTTCGAACCGTTCAAATAAGAGGCTGAAAATCTAATTTGTTTATCCAAACTAAAAACATTTACGTCCCGAAAAGACCCAAAGGTATATATTAACAAGAAAGAGAGGATATGATTGGACGGCTAATATAATAACTATAGCAGCACATTCTTAATGAAACATGGGAAAAAAAGAACAAAAACTGTTTCTATTACAATTCTTAGTTGGTCGTTTGTTATAAAAATTCAAATATTATTTTTATTAGTAAAGTTCACAAAGTGTATGAATATTGAAATAGTTTTTATATGAGATATCTAGTGTCTTACGAATTGATATAGAAAATTTTCCCTCGATTTTTCCTCTCTTCCTCAGCACTCAAGAAGAGAAAATGTATATCGAATAAACCATAAATATACTAATATATACATACTAATATGTATTCATATAACTAAATATAAAACTAAAGACAGAACAAGCGATAAATTACGTTTTATTTTGTCTTAGAATGATATTCGCTCGATTTGCACTTTTAAAGACCTTTCTAGGTGGAAAAAGAAGTGTAATGGAAGCTAAAAAAATCCCTAATCTTACTAGTGCACTGAAATGATAACTGTAAATGTTAAGAAATTGATTCTGATTGTATCCTAGTGTGAAAAAGAGCAAAAATGTCACCCTACTTAGGATTCTCTCTACGGAAAAAAAATGCTAATAGGAGTGGGAAGGGAGGGTGAAGATGGATAAAATTCGTTTGCAATTGTATATCTGGAAATATGTCATTCGCCTAGATGGTTGATTTGAATTCTAATCAATCGAGAAAAAATCGTAAAAAGTACACTTTAATCGACAAAATGAGACGCTTTATAATAATAGGCAACGAAAGCAGAGAGTGCAAGAGAGAGAGAGAGAGAGAGAGAGAGAGAGACAAGTCGGAATAGCAGTATTGGCAAGGAAAATATTTAAATTTTGACTAAACTCATCCATTACTACGCCTCGAAATTTGGTTCTAATTAATTTTAGCAACATTTGAATCAATTTAGAGAAGATATCAAAGGGTTTTTTATTTATTTGCTATACAGTTTTACGTGTGTTACCTAGGTGGTATTACTACTCACACGTTTTATCCGTTATTTAGAATTCATAGTGGTTCCAGATACATATCAGTCTATACCGTTATACTAAGAAGGGATTAGCAATGGTCCTGTTTATTTATTTATTTTTTTATTTGCTTCCTCTCTTTATTTTTACCTCTGCGATTACAACACTAGAACGAAGACTACAAAGTAGTTGACCTAGTTAATCAAAGCTCACGTATTAATTTCTCTATTGATCTATAATTTCTTTAAAGTTAAAGTAAACAATTAAAAAACATTTACAGTTTAATTAAGCAAGGAAAATGTATGTTTAATTTACCTTTTTTGTTTTATACGAAAGAAGATTTTGGACTTAAACTAGGACAGATTAAAGGAGAAAAATTCGAGGTTGAAAAGTTTCCTAAGTGTTAGCAGAATTCGAGAATTTTATTTTAACAGATTGAAAGGTTTTACTCGTTTCTGATCTACTTCTTGCTCTTATTACTTTACTTTTCTTTCGTCTTGAAAAATTCTCATGAGCAACATTTTAAGCATACATACTTACAGTATAGTCTTGATTGAACGTTAAGTTGCCGTTATTTACATAATCCAACCGCGTTGTAAATCATTCATTAGGCATTGAAAGTTATTAGTTACATTTAATATTGGAAAGGAGTATGAATTAGATATATGGTAAAATATTAATAGGCCTATTTATAATTTATACTCCTACTGCAATGATTTTCTATTTTGATTTGGAAGATAAATGTAACAAAAATATAGATGATGGAATAGTGAGAATTTTTCCTGTCTCTTCGCATACATGTTTTCCGCTCTTAAAATAGAGTAGTTTTCAGAGACAGAGAGTTTGTTATTGGAGATGAGAGTAACTTTACATAAAAATCCGTTAGAGTTTAGCATGGATGGGCAGTGCCGATAAATTAATTCCAGAAGAGAGATTAAATTAACTATAGTGGAGAAACTGCAAGAAAAATTAGGGAGAAGGAAACTTTAAAGAGATTGGAGTAAAGATAGACATTTGGCGAGTAGGTTCTTGATGAGAAAATTTAGTTTTATTCGAAAAAGAGATAATATGAAAAATTAGGCAAATAATAAACGATCAAAGTGGATTGGGTAAATAGAGTATAAACAGATGTATAAAAGAAATTAGGTGAGATGGGGGAGGAAGTATCAAAATCCCTTTTCCAATGCTTCTTTATTTCCACTCTTCCTCTTTCACTTCTTCTTTTTGAATTATTCTATTAGGCATTATATTATAGAAAAAAGGGAAGTGTGGGGGAGGACAAAATTTTAGATTTGACTTTCAAATACCTTTCTCTTTGCAGATGACCAACTGCTCTATGTCTGCTGGTGATATAAAAGTGCTTATATTTTTAAATATGAGTTACTGGTGTAAAAACGGAACAATTCAAGAACAGCCGAACAATTGTGATCTAATTTATGCTTATGCCACCCCTATTATTTTTATAATAGGTCTGGTAGGTAATTGCATTTCTCTGAGGGTTTTTACCAGTCGAGTAATGCGTCGTCTATCGGCTAGTCAGTACGTTATCGCTCTATCAGCTTCTGATCTCATAGTTTTAATCTTTTATGTATTGACGGAATGGTTGGATAAAGGCCTTAAATATATTTCTGACTATTCGTTCAATTTATACAAATATAAGGGAATGTGCCAGGGACTTCGATACATCAGCTATGCATCAAGATTTGTATCCGTATGGATAATAGCATGTTTCACGATAGAGAGATATATTGCTGTTGCCCATCCTCTGCATAGGAAGCGTCTGTGCACGAAACGAGCATCACGACGAGTAATATTAGGAGTTGTTGCGGCTGCTGCTGTCGTTAGCGTCTATAAGCCGGCTGTTTCTCGAATCTTTCACTATACGGCGGGTAAGGAGCCTTCCTGTATGATCGTGAAAAGCTTAAGGAAAACGGATAACATTCTTGATACAATTTACGGACTGTGTATCACGGCCATACCATATCTTATTGTAACAATTTCAAATTTACTTATACTGAAACAAATCATTCAACTAAAGCGTTTAGGCAATGTTGGAAGGGAGTCAAAGTTCAGATTTGAGTTTACAGGCATTCTATTGGCGATTTCAACTTGTTTCGTATGCCTGAATGCTCCGTATTTCGGTGTCTGGTGCCATGTACAATATAACGCTGATTTAATTAATAATCCAGGAAAGTTTGTCAAACACGATCCTCTCGACGAACCCAACAGTCAGATAAACTTGACGAAGACAATCTATATATGTAATTTTTCAGTGAACTTTTTTCTTTATTGCCTAACTGGAGAGCATTTTAGAAAGCAACTATACTATCGTTGTTTTTGTCAGAATTCCAGTAGTCATACAATAAGAACAGTTACGCTTAGAACATATAAGTCAAGGAATTCCGAATATAGTGTTGATAAACAAGGCAATGATACACCTCCCAGAAGTGAAACTTTGTCTAGAAGGCTAATATCAGGATCAGGTGTACAAGACGTTGTTGTATACAAGGCTAGTTACGCATAAGTGTTGTTCCTGTTTGCTTACTGTTGTCTGATTTATGCATATTATATATATATATATATACATATATATATATATAGTATATACTTTATATATATATATATATACATATATATATATATAGTATATACTTTATATATATATATATATATATATATAGATGTTCACATGCAGTAAAAATATTATAGCTATCATCATAGTGTTTAAGTTAATTCATAAATTATGTATTGAAACACAAAGTATTGTTATATAAAATAATTATATTTACGTTAAATGCGATATTCATATGAATATTAAATGATTCATCTTCGACATTTTGAAGATACTCTCTACTCATCAATAATCCTAAAGGGCTATTGAAGATTTCTAGCTTTATATACAGAGAATCGTTACGACTTGATTTTACTTTCATCTTTGAAGGCTTTGTTGTAACATGGTGTTCATATTTATTTTATAATTCAACATATACTGTATACATAAACGAGTGGATATATATATACATATCACAATTACTCTATATGTACGGTATGCATATACATTGTACAATGTCGAATATTTATTGTATATAAGTATACAGGAATTTATATTTTGCATAATAATTCATGAAAAGTTTGTATGTTATTCCTTCAAAACGCTATTACTATCATTAATTATTGATTGATTTTAATGGAAATATCTTACTATTACAACGCCTTTCTTTTCCCTTTTTCAACAGGATTTACATGATTGATAAGAAAAATATTCGTTCGTTAATTCGAGTAAACTATGTCGTTAACAATGAGTATAATAAACACAGATTAACGTTACAGTAGTAATACGCAAGGTTAGAAGACAAACGAATCTCTGAGATATATAGATAGATGGAGAGAGAGAGAGAGAGAGAGAGACAGAGAGATAGAGAGAGGGAAAAGCTTTTCAATAATTTGCTTTCCCAAAGTTCAATAATTGAATATAGTTTCTAAATCTAATTTCATAATTAAGATTACAAAGCATTATCCTTGACGGATCAATGTATAGAACACGAGAAGATATTGCGCAGTCTTCCAACTAAATGTAGCATATGGTTGCTCAATAGAAATTTCATGCTTCCCTCTCAGTTGTTTCGTTGGCATTGATTAACAAGATGATTCAATACACTTGAAAGAGATATGATGTATAAGTAAATGTTTAAATAATACTATTTAAGTCATATATATAATATCTATATACAGTATATATACTATATATATATATATATATATAATTAAAAATAATTATATCTCTTGGTACAGTTCCATTTCTTTTATCTTCATTTTTTATCATTCTTTCCTTCCTGCGACAGTAGGCCAATTGTTAACGCTAAAAAAGACAGCAAATCAGCTCTTTCCTGTTTCGTTTTGCTTAAAAATTCATCTTTCTTTAAGATCATTTGAAAATCAAATAAATATTGTCCATTTCTATAAAGCAAATTACGTAGTTTTCTTCTCGATTTCGGAGTAATTTTCGTACGCTTGTCTGTATATTTTTATTTAGAACACGAGTCATACTATTGCTTTTCAATCTGTAAGCCTTAGTAGTTCATATTCATAGATCGAAAAAATGTATGACATTCTTAACACCTGACGTTTAAGTTTACTTGAAGGCTATCGAAAGCTTGCAAGAACATAAGACACGTTAAACAACTAGAAGGTCGAAACTTTCTTTATAGTAAAAACAACCTTTGATAAAGATTAAGTACCAGGGAAATAATTATACTTCAGCTTCAAAGCAAGCAATAGAGATAGTAAATGAAATTTTACAAGGTAAATGGCATAATGAGACTTTGCAATTGCCTTTGCTCCTCTTTAAGGAAAGTTATTAATTTTGATAATAATTTTATATAGTCTTTTTACATAAAAAGAGCAATTAAAAGTTAAAGGAACGGAAAAGATCTAATAATAAGATTACTATATTGAATTTATTCTCTCTGTATTATCTACGTTTATCTCTTGATGATTGATTGGATGAATACAAATAAAATAAGACAATAAAGAAGAGTATATTTTAAATAGTTTGCTTTTTGGACGAAAATAGAATAATGAGAGGAAGACAACATGCGTTGTCTTTCAATCCTTAAATTTTAGCATGTCTTTGTTTGCACCGGAAAAAAACCCTTCTCATCTCTTTTTTCCCTACAAAAAAGAGTTCATTTGATAAAGGAGCTGTTCTCGAACGGGAGACAATATAGATTTATATATGATATGGGGAAAGTAAACTTGTCCTCTTCCCCTATGCAAAGTCTCGTTCGCTTCAGTACTGAACCTAATAAGCTTGACAAAGTTATGCACGAATCCCTTTAAAATTAGTGTGTTCTCAGCCATCAGTTTTCTCTCGAAAAAGGTCTAGTTTCCCTTTTTTTTAAGAAAAATGTGAACTGAGCTCAAGGTTTACATAAAGGTTGTTCTAAATTTGTACATCTTTAAGGTATTGCTAACCTTAGAAGGAGACACATTAAGCTGAATTATGGTTTTAAATTTATGTCTCTTTCTCTCTTTTTCCCTCTCTGTGTGTCTTAATTTGTTAAATATATAGAAAATTAAGGCGATTTTTTGTCCTTGTTCTTGATATCTCAGGCATAAATTAAGAAAGTATTTTCCCTGGATTCGTTCGATCCTTATTGTTAGATATTTTAAACTGTAAATCTTTATTTCTCTTTTAATTCAAGTTAATCACCATTTTTCCATATTTTGAGTGTACAGGGAATAGTTTGGGCATATTTTAACATATAAAATGATCAAGTAGATTAATGTAAATATTTGCTGAAAAGAATGGATTAAGCTAGCAAGCTTAAAAAACATAAGCAATTGAAACGAAACTAATGAAAATTCTGCTCGTTAGAGGACGAAGTGGAGAAGAGGGAGTGAAAACTCTCTGTGCTGTTTGTCTTGTTATTTAGAAGAGAAGCTTATTTATTAATGTTATGAAGCGGAAAATAGGAAGGGTTGAGAAAAGATAATCAAACTTCTGTGTAGAATATGAACAAATTAATAAGATATTACGATTGAGTTCCTTTACGATATAGAATACTCTTTTGGACAAATCGTAATTTGCATCACTTCATGTATACGTACATAATGCATACGCATGCACACACATATATAAATATATATATATATATATATATATATAAGTACTGTTTATATGTATATATTCGCTCACTCTGCCTTTCTTTATCTTTCTCCCATTCCCAATCTTTCTTTATTTCTTAATTTTACCAGTGTTTGCCGACGTATAAGTTTACAGTAGAGAAAACATTATTAAGAAAGCATCCAGCGCCTTGATCAATATATTCTAAAAAAATTGTTCCATTAACAATTACGATACCAATATAGAGCTCACTGTACCCTCCAACCCTAAGGGATATAGAAACTGTTGGTATAAATTTAATAAGAAACTCAATCATATCTAAAAGATAAGGTCCTCTGAACAATTTGTAATTTTCATATCATCACTTAAGCAATATGAGATGATTAAATTATCGTTACCCTTTCTTATTCATAGTTTGTAATTATTTTATTGTAGAGAACCATAGGAGGAGGCAATGGTGGAGGGGTCGTCAAATACAACAACCAAAACAAACGCCTACGACAAATGGAGATTTGTATACGAAAATAGAGATTAAGGCGGAGAATATTCAACACTTGATAAGCCATTAAAACAAGAAACGATAGAGATAGAGAAAAGTTAAAGATTTGCATAGATAGGTTAAGAAAAGAAGACGAGTCCGTGAAAAGGTTTATAAAGGAAAAAAGAAAGAGATGCAATTAGTCAAGTATTTCTTAGTTTATCAAATAAACACTTGCCCCCTCCTTTCATCTCTTCAATTGTCAGGAAGTGTACTCTGGCTTACAATTTTAACTTAATTAATTAAATGGTAAGGAAAAAACAAACAAGGAGGAGAAATTCATTCTTTTCTCTATTATATACAGTATATTCATTAGATTTAAAATTCTGCGGTCTATAGTCAATAAATAAGGAATTCTTTCATTTTTCATACTAATCCAATAGTCTTAAACCGTAAATGTTGTATAAATCATAAATTTTCCGATACTGTTTAAAATCTATCATAAACAACCGCAAATTAGACGCTAATAAAAAAATATTAAGAAGATTATTTATAGATTAGCTCTTTATTGCCTATCCAGTTGCAAAACTGGCGCAAGCTGGATGACATTTAGGATTTTTTTGGTAATTGTATATCATCTTTATCCTATATCTTCCTGCTTGGAATTATTTTTACGATATCTTATGAGTTAATGGGAAAATTTTGGATACAGAAGAAAGTTTTTCTCATATTTATTTCATTTTTAAAGGGGCGCTAATTTCCTATAAATGATCTTAATTCATCCGGACCTGATGTTTGAGAAGCGTAAGCGGAGAAGAAAACACGACAATAAGGATATTGACACAGGATTTGCAATGTATAAAAGTATCTTGAAGAGGTTTGAAAGAAATTGATATCCACCTAAAAGCTGTAATAGACACTATATATCTATTTAAAAATAAAATTATTGTGCATGATAAAAGAATACCGTTACCATATGAAAATAAACGTAAAATAGAATAAGAAATTCCCATCAAACAATACCTAACTAATTAGTTAATTGATTACTTACCAAGTCTATAGTTAATTTGTAATGAAAGTTATCACCTTTTATGTCATCTCTTTCACTATCTGTCTATATTTAAATAAAAGTACGATGCTACTGCATTCTTCTTCTGTATATCAACAATACAGCCTATTTTTCTTCAACTAACTCAATTGTCTACTTTATTTTCTTTATAATTATTAAAGTTTTACTTCAAAAACGTTTTCTTTTTATATCGAAAAACCAATCATCTTTTTTAATGGCAAATTCTTGACGAAGAAGAAAAGAAAATTCTTTTATCTTTTCTCTCCTTTTCTTCGAATCCTATTATATTGTACTGATTTAAACAAAAAACTTATTATTAATGTTAATGTTGTGAATGGAAGAAAAAAAATACTAGAAAGGATCTTTCATTTAGAATCTAAATCAGCCATAAATAGAAACGTGTCTTTCTCTTCTTCCCGAAAACGGTAGAAACTTTAGACGAATTATATCTCGCCTGATTTGGTAGTATAGTATTCTTTGAGTGTGTTGTTTAGAGCTCTAAAAGTGTGTTTTTAAAACTAGTAGGTGAGAAGCGGAATTAAAATAACTGAGAGATAGATAGGTAAGAGAGAGAGAGAGAGAGAGAGAGAGAGAAGAGCAGAGAAACAAATCAATTATCAGCTTCTTAAAATAGTTAATAGCCTTTTCCCCTAATTTATCCAGTAAACAGACATTATTATTTTCTACGCTTTGAGGAACCTCAGCATGGTTTGCTTCTATTTTGGAATAGAAAGTTGTTCATAATCAAATTATGAAAAACAATATTAAGTTAACTTAAATGGCAGAGGAGTGTTTGCATAAAAAATATCAATAATAAATTAGAACAGAGTCCACTCTTTCTTCCTAAAACTTGTCAATGAAAATAAGCCTTTTTTAGTAAATACTTACAAATCAAAATGAAACAATAGCCAAATGAAATTATGACATGATAAGCTCAAGTTTAAATTAAACTCAATTTTAGATGGAACTATTTTTCTACTTGTTAACCAAACAAAAACGTCCCCCACAGGTACTGGAAAAGGGCTCTAAAGTTAACGAAAAATAAGATTTTCCTATATAGTTCCATATACAGTATTTATTAGATACTTATTCATATTTGTAGAAAGTTTTAAGAGTATGGCGCAGCGTGTATGGGTGTGACGCAAATAGCATAGAGACAGTCCTTCTGCCCTTGGCAGATCATATAATTACTAGAGGTGTTTATTTATCTTTTATGACTAGTTCTATTCAAAATATCGAGATCGTACCTTACCTGTATCGCGACAACAAACGATACTCTATTAATGCTTTCATAAACAAGCACAACCCTCCTACACATTTCCACAGAATTCAGAACGTTTATACGTAAAGGAAATGAAGTCTCTTTCTATTGGAAATTACAGAGAAATTGCAGTATAATACTTCTAATTATTAAACTATATTGAATAAAACGAATTAAGTAATACTAATCATTATCGCTCTTTTACATATATTTGTAAATCAAAGGATTTAATACTAGTGAATAATAAGAAACTATTTCCGAACATAAATAAGCCAAGTCTCCTAATAGGAAAGAAAGAAAGAAAGAAAGAAAGAGAGAGAGAGAGAGAGAGAGAGAGAGAGAGAGAGAGAGAGAGAGAGAGTGTGTGTGTGAGTGAGGGGTGAGTGGAGAGGGAGAGAGCGACGGAGATATGTACGGATGAATAGACATAGTTTAACATTCAGAAAAAAGGTAATACGTTAGACAAGAATCAAATAAATAAATAAATATTTTGCTGGTACTAGAATTTCTTATTAATAATAAACCAAATTATACTAAAGATCTCCATTATCTTCCCTTATCATGTTATTCATTTTGTTTTTCATTTCAAAAGGAATATGATAAAAGAAAGAGATGAGGAAGAAAAAAAGAAGAATACGCTCCATTTCTTTCCTTCAGATTGGAAAACAAAACCAAAAGTATCGACTCTTTTTATTCTTTTTTCATAAAAATCCAACAGAATCCAAGAGTTTTCTATTCAAAGTTTTGCTTTTGTAATTATACGAAAAAGACTTTACAATTTATTGTTTTGGTGATTGCTTCTTGCTCTCTCTCTCTCTCTCTCTCTCTCTCTCTTTTCTCATATCTTTCTATCTCTCTCGTTCTTTGCGAGCCAGCTAGTAGTTTTATTTTAATTAAAAGTAGCTTAAATTTCAACCCCATGTGCTCTATCGTTTTTTCTTCGGCCGTTTTTGTCACATGACGAATAAACTTTATGCCGGCTTTTTAACTTCGCATTATTTAGTTTTTCCTCAGTTATTTTATCATAAGGATAAAGAAACTTTCATTATTTAGATTTCAATGAGTATAGTCGAGTATATTTTCTATCATTTTCCGCTCAAGTATTACTCAAAGCTAATTAGCCTGTTTAAGAGACAAGCCTTCAGGTAGTATTTCAGTCATAACATGCCGAAATAGACGTTCCGTGAGAAATTCTTTGATTTCTTGTCACTTCCTTATCGTTTATAGTCAGGTATAGTTCGTATTATTTTGACCGATTGTACTATAGATCATGCTTAATGTTTTCTCAGAAAAAGCTTGTTTGTCTTTATCCAATTGACAATTTTAACAGCTGAATGTTAATAATAGAGACATGTACTAAAATCAATATACTGCATATATACTAATACTAATATGAATATATAACATTTGAATTTTAAGTTTTTTAACGCTAGGTGACGCCTCTAAGTATGGATATACTTTATTATAATACAGTCGCGATATTAAGTAATTATAACAAGAGTAAAAATATCTAAAATTCCAAATATCTTGATTTACAAATGAAGTTTATGGTTAGGAATAATTTTTTCTGTAAGAGAGATGACTTATGAGGCATCAGGCAAAATTTTTTAAAATATCTATATTTTAATCATCAGTTTTTCACTCTTTTTTTTACAATACTATGAATTTAGTCCGCTATTAAGTAATTATAACAAATCAATCAGGTCCATCAAAAGTACTTTTTTTATTTTACTTATACATTTTTAGATAGGCAAATGATTGTAAATGATAAAATTTTCAAATTTAATACTTGGTATGTATGCCTTTTGCCTTTCTTACTGCATTTAGCCTCCTTTCAATAGAGGCATACAATCCCTGTATCTCAAAATTTGATATTTTGAAAAATTCCTTCTCAAAAATTTCTCCTGGCGATTTTATGTGGTCTACCAGATATATGCAGGTCATTTATTGTTTTAAATTGCTTGAACTGATTCTTTATATTCTGCACTGTAACTGGGCTGCAATTAAATTTTGCTGTTATGCCTTGAATGGTCAATTTTGGCCTGCTTAAGTGGAACAGGATATCTTTGCAGATTTCTAAAGATAGCTGATGCATTTTTTAATATTTCCAAAAGAATTGTATGTTGTAAGTTCAAGGGAACAATATTTGTAGACCAAATTTTTTTTCAATGATACTACTCATAATTATGAGGTCATAATGATGATGTTATAATTACTTAATAGCTGTCTAAATTCATAGTATGGTAAAAAAGAAAGATAAATTGATTCTTAAAATATAGATATTTATCTGAAATTTTCCATCATGTTTCACAAGTCATCTATCCTATACAAAAAAATATTCACAACCATACACTTTATTCCTAAATCAAAATATTTGGATTTTTAGACATTTTTACTCTTCTTATAATTACTTAATATCGAGACTGTATAGTTAAAAATATAGAAATGAGAATGCAGTATACTAATTTTCAACTATAGCGTTTATAGGACTAATTAAAAGATATTTTATAAATGTATGCATCGATTACGTAGATATAGCGGAACAGATGTTGAATTTCTCTTTTTTTTTAGCGTTATCTCTCCTCTTCCAAACGCCTCCCCAACCCCTCACACACTCTCGTTCAAATTACACAAAAATGCTTAATCATTTGTTAAACAGTTACAAACAATGAATCATTTATTATTTTTGCCATTAGTTTAAAAAGTTGACTAACGGTAAAGTTAAAAGTTTAGATGCCGATTTAGGAAAATTTACATGAATATCAATAGAAACCTAAATATATAGTGTATTGTGTATATTATAGCTTTCTGTCGGATAGATACACGTTCTTTTCACTTGATATATATTAAATATTGGATAACGGAAAGGTGGAGAGAGAGAAGAGAGAAAGATATAATCGTTTGAATAGTGATTTTTCTTTATTGTGATAAAAGGATAGATGGATTGGATACTCTCGTTTTTTAAAAAAATCGATTCGATTGAAGTTGATCAAGAATCAATAGCTAAGGAGAAAGTGACTGAATTAAAGTCTAATAATGAATCTAAACAACTCGATATTCGACTAATGACAAAAGACGATTGTAGAAGAATAACAGAAATCCTTTTTCATGGCTTTTACCAGTTTATTCAATATTTAATTGGCAAAGATGAAGATGTGGCGATCTTAAATATAGTCAGGTTATTGATAGAATATAATTTCCGGCGTTACCAAGATACCTATGTGGCAGAAGTTAACTCTGAAGTTGAGGGAGTTTGTAGACTGACTTTTAGCGACTCGTACGTTTTTTAATAGAAATACTTTTTTTTACATCTTCCCCTCTAAATAGTTATCTTCATTACACTAGAATTGATAGGAAAATGCCGGGCTTACCTGGAATGATTGTTGATGATTTCTCACCGAAATCTATTCTTAGAACTTTATGCTCTGGCTCTATGGCTAATAATCTCATGAAAATTGAGGAAGGAGATTGCCTCATTCAATTCTTAGCGGTTGGCGAAAATTGCAGAGGGAAAGGCATTGGTAAACTCCTTTTGGAGCATTCCTACTATCAGGCAGAGAAAAGAGGGTGTAAGGTAATAAGAAACAGTTTATTCCTCTGGCAACTGGTATTATTTCAAATCTGCTAATCAAAAGTTTGAGGAAATGACTCGACATGTAACTAAGTGAACGCGATTCTCTGTTCATTCCCCCATTCTCTTCTCTCCTGTCCTCTTTGCCCCCTCTCTTTCAAAAGCATCTCTCATTTTGTACATGTTTTCTCTTCCCTCCATTCTTCCTTCTCAAAATATTATTTCTTATTAGTTGTGTTTTTACAGAGAATATGGCTTCTCGTTTCGCTATCCAATCCTCAATTTAAAAATTTATGCGAACAACTCGGTTATGTATCAACAAAGGTGATCAGGGTTCGACCATTGTTCGCCTTTGGCTCAGAGGTTAGTAAACTCTGGCTGAACATTTCAGCGTAATAATCCCCCTCATTGTTTTCGGCAGGGTTACTACAAAATGGTGAAAAGTATCTAAAAACTAGGTTAACATTCTTTTCTAGCCAGCCACTGGCTCGCTTTTCTCTTTTTATCTTCTTTCCTCTCTCTCTCCCTCTCTCTCTTACCTACTCTCTTTCTCTCTTCCCCAAAGGAAGAAAAATATTTTTATCCATTGGGAGATGGATAAAAGATAGATTTAATTTACAGAAATAGCTGGAAAATCTGTGATAGATACCATTTGGTTTTAATTATTGATAAATAAATTTTCTTAACAGAATTTCACCTAATTCTTTTACTCTTTCGCCAGATTGAATCACGTGATCAGTACAACATCAGGCATGATACTTTTTAATTAGTTGATAATAAAATAAAATACTTATCTATTAATTTATTTGAATTGTTCGCACAAAAATATAACAAAAAAGGCGTATTGATTTCTTTTATACATCTGTCCCACTTTTATAAAAAAGGTAACAATTTTAAGTTTATTAAGTAAATGGGAAATAGGTAATGTTACTTTATGCTATACGGTAGGCTTTATGGTAATCACTATCCTCATTGAAGATGAGTACTGTTGAGTACTTTTAATTCTAGCAAATCTATTTAAACCTATCCTACTTAATTTCTTTGTTTTTCATCCTCGAAACAATTATCATTTTAGATGTTAAATAATAATCAATTTTCATTATACTTTTAACGATAGGTCGAGATGACACGATCGAGCAGGAAGGAGAGAGAAAGAGAAATATACCTAAACATTGATAGATAAATTGTTATATACTATTATGTATATTTATAGAAGCATAAACATAATATAGGATGATTAAATATTTATTCTTTACTGACCCGTTTGCTAGAATTTTTAACCTGTAAGTGGACAAAGAGGGATCTTTGAAGGCTAAAAGTAATCGCCTCACTAAATTTGTTAGCATTGATTTAGTTGTCGAGTCCCTTATTAGGTTGTATAAGGCAGGTCTCCAGAGTGTAAACATTAAATAGATATATGAATATTCAGAAAGAATCACGTTTTTTTTTTTTTTTTCAATTCTTGACAAGAATTTAAGGTATGGAATATTGAATTTCTTTGATTATCTTTTTATGAATCTTCATTTGATTTGAATCGGTGGTTATATTCTTTATTTTATAACCTTTTTTTATTATTTAATACGACTTCAATTATCACGAAAAGAAATAAAGGGAGAGAGACAGACAGACAGACAGACAGACAGACAGACAGACAGACAGAGAGCCAGAGACAGAGACACGAAGGTTAAACAGGCAATCAAAATAAACTTGTAAATTGGACGCCTTAGTTCTGTATATTCTTTCAACTGTATTCGACTTATTAATTAGCGCACAGTCCCCTCTCCTTAAATTCTTCGGTCCAATCTCTAATTGCATTATCAAAATCATCTCCTTGAGAATTATACCATTCGGTCTCCATAAGGTTTCTCACGTACTTTTCTATTCCCTGCCATCTAGATAGATTGAAATCTAATAAGAGCAAAGTTGTTATCGAGGCAGCCATTGCGAAATCAGCAAGAGTAGCCTGATCTCCGTTTAAAAACAATTCATCATCTTTAAAGCATAATTCATTAACTTTGTCAAGAGTATCGAATAGTTTCATTTTCTCCGTCTCGGTTGGATTTCGTTTGCCGAATTTCATGGCCCTCTGTTAGTTTTAAAATGAAATAGAATTGTAAAAACTAAAACCGTGTTCTCTCCCCTCTGGAGCTACAGTTGCATTTGCAGTTGCATTTACAGTTGCTGTTTGAAATTGAACTTTGCAATTGCATGTATTTAGTAGTTTTTTCTCCTTCCATTTTTACTATTAACTAATTGAATCAACTTACAAGAACAGCTCTTATAGGCGGTTGTACGACAGTTGCGTCGAAAAACAAATATCTATCAACAACCGCTCTTTTCCTAACATCTTTGGGATAAATTGCGTCCATTTCATCATTGGCATATTTATTAAAGAGAAATTTTTGAATAGCCCTCGATTCCCACAGAATAAAGCCATCATCAACGATTGTTGGTACTGTTTGATGAGGATTTAACTGAAATAAAAATATGATTAGAATATAAATAATTCAATGTAAAAACAATATCATTATGAGATACTTTTGCGAAGCTTTCCGTTTTATGATGACCTTTGAAAAGACTTAAATATTTCATATTCAACTCTACACCTAACGCCTTAGCCGTAAAGATAACAGCCCTACAAGGAGCGCTAGGTGTGACATAGTAGAAATTAATAGGAGCCATTGTTTTCTAGTAAAATTCCTTTTTCTAAATATCGATATTAAATGGATTCCAGTGAACAAATGGGACACAAGATAATAAGAGTTTTAGATTATGGGCCTTGAATTCAAGGTTTATCTTATCTAGTTAGTTGTTTATTGGTTAACCTGTTAGTATCTATGAACGAAAGCTTGCTAGATGGTTATCAGATATTTTTTTCGCATAGATTCCTTACCAAAAACATGAAATTGTTAAAAACTAGGCAAAGGCATATTTCTTTATCAAAAGTTAGAATCAGAGACCGCGTTTCTTTGGCCTAAATTTAGGCCTTTAAGTGCCTTTCAATATGTTTAATTAATGTAACATTTTATTCCTAACCTTGTTGATTTCGTGTCAACAATAATTCTCCTTAATCTTTCACTTTATCACGAATTAAAAAAGAAAAAGCACATAAAATCTTATTTATTAAGTAATCTTGAAAATCATCCAAACAGTGGTGCCATCTCGATATGGACAATATTACTATAATATAAAATAGTACGAATAAATTGATTGTTACTTTTTTCGTGATGAAAATGTCTTTAATAGGGTAACATAAGAATAAAATTACATTGCAGATTATAGACTGAAAGTGTCCGTATAAAAAAGGTCAAATAGAACAGAGAAAGACTGTCGATAGTTGTATCTGACGTGAGAATAATAATGAGCTGGATTCTGGGCGGTGCAAATCTCAAAAGACTTATTCATTCTACCGAATGAGAAGCGTGTGACACAGCTGCCCTTGCCCTACGCCAGAAAGCAACTAAATCCAATTGAATACTTTTTTTCTCATAAAGAGATCGACTCCTTCCGTCATGAGGTTTAATTTTTTTTTCATATATTTCTATCATCCGCCGATCATTTTACTTGAAAAATCTTCAACTTTTCCATAAGAAAGTGGAAGCGATCGGTATTCGTGTCTTTGTTGTGTTCTTGTACTTTTTACATAACTCGTAAGAAACTGCCAAACTAAGAGAAAATACAGGCAAGCGAATCAGTTAAGTATTCTATTATGACAAAGACATACTGTATATATTGCATCTAAGGTTTATATATTTATCAACTGCGACATTAGTAAGAGAAAAGGTAAGAGAATAAAGAAAAAGGAACTATAAAGTGTTTTCTAACGTTTCTCATTGCTTTTTTCTTTTAAATCGATATGAAAGATTTATTTTTATATTTTTTAAATCTGTAATCGATTTATATGGTCTCTTAAAAAAGTCAGCTGAAAATATTGTTTACTCTCTCTCTCCCTCTCTTTCTCTCTTATCCTCCATCTTTCTTTTCACTGCTCTATACTTCTTTTATGTATTTGCTTATAGTCATAAGGTGAAGACATCTGTTTATTCATATAGTTTATTTTTGTTTTGAGTTGGAAGAAATTAGGTCTTTTTTATATAGTTTTAATAAAATTATTAAATAGTTAATGTACCTGAAAGGATATTACAAGTGTTAAGGGAATATCTATCTAATTGTCCTTAATTTGATAAAGTCTTAACATTAAGGTTCACGTGACAAAAATAGAAAGAAAAGAGGAATGATACGTTAACTCAAATAATTTATATGTATATCTATATATACAATATAGATGTACAATTTCTCTCACCCATTCACCCACTCTCTCTCTCTCACTCTCGCTCTTCTTCTTCTTCTTCTCGCTGCAGTTTTTTAATTCTATTAATATTGCGTTTGTAATTTATATTTAGAACTCTTAAAAATTATTATAGAAATCCAAAATAAAGAATCGGCTTGATGATTGAATTTTTTTTATTAAAAAAAAAAGAAACTAAAATAATATAAAAGATTTACCATAGTAGAAAAGAAAACGAAAAAATAGATGATTTTTTGTTTTTTTAAAAAAAAAGGGCAATATTTATATATGTAATATAATTGTTATGTGATTAAATATCCTGTATTATTTACTTTTAACTTGTTCGGTTATATTTGTATATATACTCTTACAGATCATCTCTGCAATTTGCCATTCCATTCATGTTATTCTCTACAATAATTATAGAAGAGGTAGGTGTATGATAAAAAAGACATGCATGCCCTTCATTTAGTACTTTTTGGTCATAAATATGAACTTGAAAAAACAAGGAAACTTCCCTTCTAAGCACGGCAATCTATATATAGTTAATTTTCGTTCTAAGTATACAGTAGATATATATATATATATATATGTTGTATATTTATAGTATATATTTATATACAGAGTATTGAAGAACAGCTAATAAACTCATGCAAGAAAATATGCAAGGACAGCCATATAAAACGCGATAAACTAGCACAAAAGTAAGTAAATAACTCATTTTCACTCTACAGAAAAATCCACTCTGGTACAAATTTATTAGGTCTGAAAAATCTCTTCGATTTTCCCTAAATACTATGCAATTTTTCCCGTGTAATTTCCAAGTAAGTGAATATAATTTTTCATGATTTCGGGTTATTTAAATAATTTTCATTTTTCTTTTTTTCTCTCTTTAATAAGCTGTGCGAAAATTTTCGAAAGTTAAGAGAACAATCTTGCAGGAGGCAAAATAGGATTAAATTTTATGGAAAATCATTCAATTGGATCCCGTATTATTCTAGTTAGTAGTGAACAATAGATAAGGGACAGAAGGGGAGGGGGAACGGGGGAAAAGGGGAACGAAGGAGAGCAAAGGGAAAAAAAAAAGCTTATTATTAAATGGAAAAATTAATATAATTTGTCTTGTTTGTTATTTAAACAGATGAGGAACCTTGCGAATTGTATTGTAAACCGGAAGGTTATGAAATATACAAAAAATTCGGTATTGTTAAAGACGGTAGCAGTTGCAATCCTGATAATGAGTACTCTATTTGTATCAATGGCAAATGTCAAGTAAGTTATTGCAGTCGTCTCATTTTTTATTCAGATCCTATGACAGAACGCTTTACACTCTATTTAATCAGGATCTACTTTATTGGCTTTGAAATAAAATACACAATTCGACCATTTTTAAAAATCATTTCCCTTTAAATAATCCTATTTATTTTTTTTTGTTATCTCAAATAGAATGTCGGATGCGATGGAGCCTTAAATTCGGACAAACGATACGACGTGTGCAGGGTCTGTGGCGGGAATAATTCAACTTGTCACGTGATTAAAGGAGAATTCTCTAGGAATGATATCGGTTTTGGATATTTTACGATAGTAACAATACCCAAAGCGGCAGTAAATATCCGTATTTTTACTCAAGAACCTTCGTTTAACCATATTGGTAATTAATCTTTAATGAATTAATTAAAAACTAATGACTTTATTAATTTTATATTCTCTTTCCATGACCAGCAATAAAGCGATTGATGAATAATAAATTCCTAATGAATCGGTATGACAACGTACATAATGAGTTTCGCGGAGAAATAGATGGCGCTGTTTGGACTTATTCAACATCCAATAGAGGGCTCCATAATAAAAATAGAAAATTTTCCGCAATATTGACAGCAGATGGACCAATCAAACGATCAGTTGAAATAATGGTCAGTCGATAAGCGTTTGCAATAAGTCGATATATTAATAACCATATCTGTCATTTTAATAACAGTTATTAAAAATGGGCCTAAACGACGGTGTAAAATACTCATATTCAATACGAAAAGACTTGCGGAAAACGAAAATTTAACATGTATACCATTCATAACTTTATATAGATACAGTTTAACTTGTAATGTATAATATAGATTTACTATATATTGTATAATGATGTGAAATAAATATGTGTAAAACATTCCATAAACCAATAACGAAGTAAAAAGAACAAAAACCGTTTAGTAAAACAAAGACAGAGAGCAAGAGAGAGCAAGAAAGAGAGAAAGAGAGAGAGAGAGAGAGAGAAAGAGACGTTTTGTTTGAAGACTAGTTTTGTACATACAATACATTATTGATAAAACAGAAAAAGAACAAATTCTATTACACTATACAACATATGCTGCTTCCATAACTTCTATAATTTCATTCTTTCGGCTTTTTTTTCTATTAAAACTTATTTTAATGTGATAAAATACAAAAAAAAACCCAACCAACTATTATAATTTTGCAGCCATAGGTTATATGACAAAAGCCTATTTTTGCAGTCTTTTGAATTACATCAAACTTTCTCTGGTTTATTAAGTACATTTCCAATTGATCCGTTTAAATACATATTCGCCTCTCAAATTTAATCGGGAACGAACGCATATGTAAACATGAAATATTCAATTTTCATTGTTTCCTTTATTGGAATTTTAAATCTTTACGGGATTTTTGGATGTCTTGACGATGACAGCGATAATCAGGATAATGGTACAATAAATTCAACTCTTTTATTCAAAAGTCTATTAAATTAATACTACATCTATTCAAATATATTCAAAGTAGGTTGTGTTTACGTACAATATCCATCTCATCAACTAGTGAATTCTGCCTTATCAATTGAGCCTAATGTCGACTGTGTTGGTAAATGTAAGAAATTATGCGAAAACAACGAAGGGTGCAAGTAGGTGTTTCTTTATTCATTCTCTACATTAAGACTTCTTTCATTGACATACGCCTATAAACTTAAAAATACAATGGAAACACAGATCTCTCGCCTATAACGGAGAAGAACAAATCTGCTATATCTACAAGGAGGATAAGGACTCCGCACCGGAAAACTTCCAATCATACGCTTCTTTTGATTATTTTCAAAAAATTTGTCCGAAGAATAAATAAAACCTGCATAAATAAATTACGAAAACATGATAATTCCCTTCTTTCATTCTCTTTATCTCTTTTCTATTTTATCATATAAAGACGGCTTAGTTTTATTGCAGTTTTAATGATCTTATTACAGTACTATATTTACTTTGAATTACTAAATAAACGATGGAATAAAGGTATCAAAATATTTCGTAATATGGCGATTTATTGATAATGTTAATGCAATAGCATTTGACATAGTACACAAAACGAAGAGAGAGAGAGAGAGAGAGAGACAAACAGACAGAGGTTAGAAATACCTAATCAATCTAACAAAGGTTAACTTTCCCTAAGTATGAAAGCGTTTTTAAATCCATATCGTAGAAATAATAGTCATTTCCTTTAAAAAAAATTGTTGAATTTTCATTGTCAGCCAGTGTCAAAGCTGCTGTAGAATCAGGAATAATTCCAGGAAAATGCTCATTTTTTGTATCATTTATATGATAGCTAGTGCCCTTTGCGAGCCACGACATCCAAGTCTCAGACCATACCTCGTATATATAGGATCCTTTAAAGAAGTAGGCAGTAAGGAATGGTTTGTTGGGTTCAGAGCAAAATTTACAGGTCATTCTTTCAAGCATTGCCCCTGGTCCCTGTGGCACATGATTACCAAGAGTATATTTAATATTTGCCCCATTGGTTCCACTAAACGCCTTGAAGGCGGGAAAATTGGAAAATTTATTGAAAGAATATGAAAACTCCCCCTTAAAAATGAAATAAATATATGACGAAAACATTTGCCTAACCAGTAGACCATCAGTTCCAAATGTTCCCCAGTTTGTGAAAAATTTATTTATATGTTTTCTGGACGTAGGACCAGTTTGAAAGTCTGTCCAGTTATTATAAACTAACACAGCATTACCGCTAATAAGAAAATATTTATTTTCAGTACTATCGTAAAATGCTCCATTGATACCTGGTTTTTGTTGTTTTCTGCCAAATAGCTCAAATTCAAAATATCTGATATTTCTTTCTAAAGATTCGTTTAAATTTAAAAACTTTTCATAAATAACGCACTTTGAACAATTAGCTTCAAAAGAAAAGCCAGTACAATTTGCCCATTCAATACACATAAATGCACAATCGGTTATAGAATTGCCAACGTTAGTATGGATAATATTATCAAAAGATTCCAAGATTGAAGGGCTCTTTTGACTTGGAGATTGCCAAATTTGATCTCCAATTGATGGAGAGCCATCAAATTTATTTGAGTAGGCAATAAGAAAATTAGAAATCAACAATAGAACAATCATATTTTTTTAATATCTCAGCAGAGTAAAGAGGCGAAACTAATAGGAGCAGGGTGAGAAGGATTTTAGATCTTTAAAGAAACCGACCACATGAATGAGTGCTTTTCTTCCTCAAAAGATTTCCTATACTAGTTTTGATTATTCAATAAACTTCCGTTTCTACAACATTAATTATTCATAAAAGCACTAAGTTCTTCAATGAAATATACAATGATTTATTAATTTAAAAATATATAACGATAACGGTGTACTAGAACTTGAGGCAACAACTTTCAGGTCACAGCTATCCATTTCAGGAAGAATTCTACTCATTTTTACCCCAGTGATGGCCTATCATGGAATTTGAAGGAATCCAAAATTTCAAAATTGTCAAGTATACATTAATTCAACATGCGAGGCATAAATTTCAATACTTTTTCCATTTTTTAGCAAAGATAAGGTGGTCAGTTCCACAGCTTCTGGGAATTCTAGAAAAAAGAAACTGGGACATTTTCTTTCCTTTTTCTATAAGATCGATTAATCAATTAATTCATAAACCAGTAGAATACAATATAGAAAACACGTGTTTCTGTAAAGAACAATAATGTTATTTTTATATTTAAGAAAAGTCACCATTTCAAGCAGTGGCTGTCAGAGATGAGAAATCTCATCTAATGAAGGGTAAAAAGCAACATAAGAGGATGAAACTGTTTCTTGAATACTATCCTACAAGCTCTATTTTTTACCTTTTTGATAAAACATCATACAAGTTGTTCTTATAGATGGATAAATAGATAGATAAACAGATAGTATACTCATACAACTCTAAACTTTTTAAGAGTACAATTAGAGATGTTCTCTTAAAAGAAACAATTAGAAAATTATCTTTTTGGGGGAAGCCGGTCAATAGTCGATAATTAAAATGAACGAACAATGTTACACAGTACTTTAAAGATTTCCAATACAAATTTGAATAATTCAATAAAATTTCATTTCTACAATATTAATCATTCATAAAAGTAACTTTAATTTATCAATGAATTATGCAATGAATAATTAATGAAGAAATTAATATACAACTAAATGAAAATAGTAGAAAAACAAAACAATTTTATAATTAAAACTAAACAGAACGTTATATACTAACGTTCCGTTCACATTACATGATATGAGTGAATGTGTGTTAGTGTGCGAGTTTCAGTGTCTGAGCGTCACTTAAGAAGGGAGTTTGACTTAGCCCAGAGTCGGGACAGTCCAACTTGATGTTATGCCACATCGTTGATAACGACGTGGCATGAACGTGGCATGAATGTGGCAATACAGATGAGCACAGTCAAACACCCAATTAAGTGACACTAACAAAGTATAAAAGGGAGTGAATGTAATAGAACGGTGTGAGAGACCAAAAGAATATCAAATAAAATTTATACGAAATTCTTAGGAATTTCGTGCTATAAGCGAAAAACAAAATCTTATAAAAAAACTATTAAATCTATGTTTCTAACTTGAACTTTTTAAAGTTTTGGACAAACAAAACATAACCAAAAATTTCAAGCTGTTAATAAACATAAATTAAATATATATAAATTTAATTGTTGTATAAGATGCTAAATCCACAGATGTTTTCTTATATAGAGTTCAGAAGCGTATAAATTTATGTTCCGGGAATGGGAAATTTGTTCATTTCCATCATTTTAAACTGAAAGTTAATTAGTTAATTTCTTAAATTGTTAATATAACTACAAATACAAATATATTAAACAATTTTACATTGGTAAACTTTAATAAAAACCCAAAAAACAATTGAAAATTTGTTACATAAGCACAAAGAGTCCGCCATTTAAACATGAAAAAAAAAAAAGAAATAAATTTATATGACTAATCATTTATGTTTCTATTTTCGATTTATCAATATTTAAAAATTAACAAATGAAATCGAAAATTACAACAGCCCGTTATATTCATTTGACAGCAATAAAAAGAAATTTATATTAAAGCATAAGCCAAATTTATAAAACTAATATTCGTAAAGAAACATTCGTTTTAGCAATAGGGTGTAACAAAATTCCATAAATTATTAGGATAAATTACTTGTACAACAAAAACATATCTTGATTTATCAGTGAGTATCTCTCAGAACTATATTTTGAATTAACATACTTCGAAGCAGGATATGGGAAACTTCCAAAACTTCATTTTCCTCATTTTACTACTATCGACTACTTTAATACAATGTCAGGATGATTCAATACCCTTAGAAGAACTACCAGGAAAAATAGAGCCATGTGACGAAGACACAAACACCACTAACAGTGGAGAAAAAACAACAACTTCAACTTTTAATGGAGAACAAGAAACAACAACATCTGGTGGAGAGGGAACTACTTCATCAAATGAAGAACAGAAATTTTCCACTCCCTCGCCTGGTGAACAAGAAACGACCTCATCTAGTGAAGGAACAGAAAAATCAACTTCTGGTACACAAGGAACAACTTCATCAAGTGAAGGACAAGAATTGACTACACCTTCATCTGGTGGAAAGGGAACAACATCATCCAGTGAAGAACAAGGATTTACTACTCCTTCATCAGGTGGACAAGAGACAACTTCGTCTAGTGAAGGACAAGGATTTACTACTCCTTCATCAGGTGGACAAGAAACAACTTCATCTACCGAAGGACAAGAATTGACTACTCCTTCGTCAGGTGGACAGGGAACAACATCATCCAATGAAGGACAAGAATTCACTACACCTTCGTCAGGTGGACAAGGAACAACATCATCCAGTGAAGGACAAGAATTGACTACACCTTCGTCAGGTGGAGAAGGAACAACATCATCCAGTGAAGAACAAGGATTTACTACTCCTTCATCAGGTGGACAAGAGACAACTTCGTCTAGTGAAGGACAAGGATTGACTACTCCTTCATCAGGTGGACAAGGAACAACTTCATCTGGTGAAGGACAAGAATTGACTACTCCTTCGTCAGGTGGACAAGGAACAACATCATCCAGTGAAGGACAAGAATTGACTACACCTTCGTCAGGTGGAGAAGGAACAACATCATCCAGTGAAGAACAAGGATTTACTACTCCTTCATCAGGTGGACAAGAGACAACTTCGTCTAGTGAAGGACAAGGATTGACTACTCCTTCATCAGGTGGACAAGGAACAACTTCATCTGGTGAAGGACAAGAATTGACTACTCCTTCGTCAGGTGGACAAGGAACAACATCATCCAGTGAAGGACAAGAATTGACTACACCTTCGTCAGGTGGAGAAGGAACAACATCATCCAGTGAAGAACAAGGATTTACTACTCCTTCATCAGGTGGACAAGAGACAAATTCGTCTAGTGAAGGACAAGGATTGACTACTCCTTCATCAGGTGGACAAGGAACAACTTCATCTGGTGAAGGACAAGAATTGACTACTCCTTCGTCAGGTGGACAAGGAACAACATCATCCAGTGAAGGACAAGAATTGACTACACCTTCGTCAGGTGGAGAAGGAACAACATCATCCAGTGAAGAACAAGGATTTACTACTCCTTCATCAGGTGGACAAGAGACAACTTCGTCTAGTGAAGGACAAGGATTGACTACTCCTTCATCAGGTGGACAAGGAACAACTTCATCTGGTGAAGGACAAGAATTGACTACTCCTTCGTCAGGTGGACAAGGAACAACATCATCCAGTGAAGGACAAGAATTGACTACACCTTCGTCAGGTGGAGAAGGAACAACATCATCCAGTGAAGAACAAGGATTTACTACTCCTTCATCAGGTGGACAAGAGACAAATTCGTCTAGTGAAGGACAAGGATTGACTACTCCTTCATCAGGTGGACAGGGAACAACTTCATCTGGTGAAGGACAAGAATTGACTACTCCTTCGTCAGGTGGAGAAGGAACAACATCATCCAGTGAAGGACAAGAATTGACTACTCCTTCGTCAGGTGGAGAAGGAACAACATCATCCAGTGAAGAACAAGGATTTACTACTCCTTCATCAGGTGGACAAGAGACAACTTCGTCTAGTGAAGGACAAGGATTGACTACTCCTTCATCAGGTGGACAGGGAACAACTTCATCTGGTGAAGGACAAGAATTGACTACTCCTTCGTCAGGTGGACAAGGAACAACATCATCCAGTGAAGAACAAGGATTTACTACTCCTTCGTCAGGTGGACAAGAGACAACTTCGTCTAGTGAAGGACAAGGATTGACTACTCCTTCATCAGGTGGACAGGGAACAACTTCATCTGGTGAAGGACAAGAATTGACTACTCCTTCGTCAGGTGGACAAGGAACAACATCATCCAGTGAAGAACAAGGATTTACTACTCCTTCATCAGGTGGACAAGAGACAACTTCGTCTAGTGAAGGACAAGGATTGACTACTCCTTCATCAGGTGGACAGGGAACAACTTCATCTGGTGAAGGACAAGAATTGACTACTCCTTCGTCAGGTGGAGAAGGAACAACATCATCCAATGAAGGACAAGAATTGACTACACCTTCGTCAGGTGGAGAAGGAACAACATCATCTGGTGAAGGACAAGAATTGACTACTCCTTCGTCAGGTGGACAAGGAACAACATCATCCAATGAAGGACAAGAATTGACTACACCTTCGTCAGGTGGAGAAGGAACAACATCATCTGGTGAAGGACAAGAATTGACTACACCTTCGTCAGGTGGAGAAGGAACAACATCATCTGGTGAAGGACAAGAATTGACTACACCTTCGTCAGGTGGAGAAGGAACAACATCATCCAATGAAGGACAAGAATTGACTACACCTTCGTCAGGTGGAGAAGGAACAACTTCATCTGGTGAAGGACAAGAATTGACTACTCCTTCGTCAGGTGGACAAGAGACAACTTCGTCTAGTGAAGGACAAGGATTGACTACTCCTTCATCAGGTGGACAGGGAACAACTTCATCTGGTGAAGGACAAGAATTGACTACACCTTCGTCAGGTGGACAAGGAACAACATCATCCAGTGAAGAGCAAGGATTTACTACTGCTTCGTCAGGTGGACAAGGAACAACATCATCCAATGAAGGACAAGGATTGACTACTCCTTTGTCAGGTGGAGAAGGAACAACTTCATCCAATGAAGGACAAGAATTTACTACCCCCTCAAACAGTGAACAGGGAACAACATCATCTAGTGAAGGACAAGAATTGACTACTGGCGGACAAGGCATAACCTCTACTGAAGGTGAAGCAGCAATTACCACAGGTGTTAATTCGACAACAACTGAAGAAATTCTAGGTATGAACTTCATAAAATTGAAGAGTTTTCATAGTTCAGAATAGATTTAACTTTGAAATTTTTTAAATAAGAATGTAGAAACTTTACGGAATATCCTGACCGTTTCCTCAGGGGATACACTATTAAACAACACCATAGAAGTACGATAGAAGATTGCAAAGAGCTGTGTGCTGTTGATGATAACTGCAAGTAAGTAAAAATTTTCTTGAAATGATGTAATCTTTTTTTATAATAATTAGAATAATTTAATGGAGAAGAGTGAAATTAGGAGATATTTGTTATACTTTATTAAATTAGCTTTCCTTTACTAATAGTTTTGGTAGTTAAAGTAAACTAATGATGCCTTTTGCTTTTTATTTGTGAAACAGGGCAGTATCGTTTTATATTCCAGGAAAGTCTTGTTATCTTCACAGTGAATCCAAATTTACAGCGGCAAAAAGTTTCTGGTTTTTTGAAAATTATATTTATTTTCACAAATCATGTAACTTTGACGACGGTAAGAAACAGTTAATTAACTTTAACAGTTACAATAGTTTCTTGCTATTTCTTATCTTTTCTAAAAAGTTTGCCAAACTATGGATGTATACGAACAAAGATATTTTACTACAACAAATTTAGCGGTAAAATCCGGCCAAACTATTGACAGTTGTAAACAAATGTGTATTGATACAAAGAGCTGCAAGTGAGTGTTTTAAACTCTAAACATTGTAATAATCTTAACTGTTTCAACTGCAATTCTCTTTCAGATCAGCAACATACTATAAGAACAATAAATATTGTTACCTATTCAAAGAGTCAAAAGATACAATGCCAAATAGATATTTAATCAACTTGAATGCCGTTTACATGCAAAGATCGTGTGAAAATGAGACAAGTATGTAGTTTTAATAACTTTAAATAATTCTATAAAGATAAATATCTCATAAATTATTCATTTAAAAACAGGATGCGAAGGATTTGATCAACATACAGATAGATATTATTCTGGCAATTTTAGAACATATGTTAAAGGTGTCACACTAGACGTTTGTAAAAGGATTTGCGGAGAAGACAACACTTGCCAGTAAATTTTTAAAAAACGTTTTAGATTTGTTTAACAATCTAATTGAAATGATTCCGACAGATCTGTCAACTATTACACAAGTGGAAAGTTTTGCTATATCAATAATGGAATAGCTGTTCAAAAACCAGAAAAATATAAAGTAAGCAAAGGAAAAATCTATTTACAGAAAAATTGTGGACCGAAAAATGAACGCAGTAGGTTTCCTCAAGACAAAGCCATTTCAATTGAAAGTATATATTCAGATAATAATCTATCCGTTTCTCCTCATCTACAGATTGTACGTATACCGAATACAAGGATAGAAAGCTTAATAGCTTTAATATTGGGTTTGTTAGCGGAAAGACATTGGAAGATTGTCGGAAATTATGCGAGAATGACGTAGTGAATAGATGCAAGTTTGTGTCGAAGATATTCTATACGTCATTTAATGTTTTTAATAATTTCCCTTAAAATTTTTATATTATAGATCTGTAAGCTTTAGAACATCAAATGGAAATTGTTATTTACACTACGAATCTAAAGATACAAAGCCAAACAATTATAAAACAGCAACAAAACACATTTACGTTCAAATAACGTGTAAACAGGAAGAACGTAAGACAATTAAGATATTTTAGATATTATTGACAAACCTTATCGTATTGAACTATGTATACACTATCATTTACAGGTTGTGAAAATATTATTGAGTACCAAAGTAGATACTTAGCTTCGCACTATTCCAATTATATTGGTCAACAAACTCTGGAAAGTTGTAAGACATTGTGCAAAGAAGATACATTTTGCAAGTAAGTGATTAATCCCCTCCTATTATCATTCCTTGATTCTTTAATTCTTCTTCTTTCATCTTCTTTCCATTTGATTTTTCTTTTACTAGATCTGCTAATTATTATTCATATAATAAATACTGCTATTTGAATTACGAAACTAAGGATACGAAACCTAACTATTATAGAGCCTATAATAGAATAACTTATTTACATAAAGATTGTAATGAAGAGAAAAGTCAGTAGCCTAGTTTTATCTTAACAAAATCAAAAGATTGCCTTTTCAAAAATAGATTGTACTGAATTGATTGAATATCAAGATCGATATTTCTCTGGCTATCGCATTTCTACACTTGGACAACAAACATTGAATAGTTGTAAAGAAATGTGCGCAAAAGATAAAGAGTGCAAGTATGTAATTAATTGAAAATTTTGGCTATTTGAGAAAGAGAAGGGAAGAGAGAGGCCGATTGATTAATAAAAAATAGCCAGACATGTTAAATAATTTTCAATTAAAATGCCTTCGTCGTTTTACAGAGCAGCGACCTTTTACATTCCGAGCAAGTACTGCTATCTTCATAGAGAATCGAAGAGTACAAAGCCAAATAATTTGTGGTATTATAAAAATTACGTCTACATGCATAAGTCTTGCGATAAAGAAGAAGGTAGGAAACAATTGGCAAAAAATAACATTTTGTAATAACCTACTTTTTAATTTCGTATCGTTTCTGAAAGTTTGCGAAAATATGGATGAATTTGAAAATAGATATATAAGTGGAAATTTAATAGCATATATAGGACGACAAACTATTGACAGTTGTAAAAAATTGTGTACTGATGACCAGAAGTGCAAGTAAGCTCTTTAAAACTCGAAATATTCTCTCCTATTATGAATTCATGTACACATACATTAATCTTATCCTTATCTATCTTATTCAGATCAGCAACCTACTACAATAACAATAAATATTGTTACCTTCACAAAGAGTCAAAAAATACTGTACCAGAAAATAATTATCTATTGAGTGTGAATACAGTCTATTTACATAAATCATGCGAAAATGAGACAAGTACGTACTTTTAAAAGTCTATTTACACTTTTACAAAGATCAATTCGAAAACAGGATGCGAAGAATTCGACGAATATCCAAATAGATATTTTCAAGGAACTTATGGAAGATATCTTAATGGCCAAACATTAGAAAGTTGTAAAAAGATTTGTGGAGAAGATAACACTTGCCAGTAAGTTTTTTCAACTCTTTCTTTTTGTCTATTAATGAATTAATTTTGTAATTAAAAATTAACTCAACAGATCCGCCAACTTTGATAAAAATCGTAAAACGTGTTATATCAATAGAGAATTAATTAGTGAAAAGCCAAACAAATTCCTGATATCAACTAGCTATGTGTTTTTAAAGAAAAACTGTGGACCGAAACCCAAACACAGTATAATACTCTACTTTTACATTCAATAGCTAATGAGTACATGGTTTTAATATATTGTTTATCTACCATGCAGATTGTACATTCACAAACTTTAGCAATAGACTACTTAATAGCTATAATATTGGATCAATAGCTGGTCAAACATTAGAAAGTTGTAAGAAAACATGCGAAGATGATTTAGCGAATAGATGCAAGTTTGTGTTTTATACTAATATATATTAATATCTTTAATTCGTTCAAGTTTCATACTTTCCCTCATACTTTGCCTTTTAGATCTGTAAGTATTTTAAAAAGAAGTGGACACTGCTACTTCCATTACGAATCTAAAGATACTAAACCAAACAATTATAAAACATCAAATGGCTATAATTATCTTCACAAAACATGCGAAGAGGAAGATGGTAAGGCGTTGATTATTATTTTCATTTAATTTAGAGGATATTCCATATTTTAATAAACACAAACAAACAATACTTTTACAGCTTGTAAACAACTTGTTGAATATCCAGATAGATACTTAACTTCTTTCTATTCTAATTATATTAGTCAACAAACACTGGAAAGTTGTAAGAACATATGTAGAGATGATACATTATGCAAGTAAGTCTTTATTGTTTTATCGTTTATTGTTTTATCGCTCTCTTTTAAATTTTATCAACAGATCGGCTAATTACTATTCGTATAATAAATACTGTTATTTAAATTACGAAACCAAGGATACGAAACCAAACTATTTTAAAGCCTATAACAAAATAATTTACTTACACAAAACATGCGAACCTAACAATGGTTAACATTGGTCTTTCCATTCAATTTTGTTACAATAACAATAGATATTTTTTTTAGCTTGTATGAACTTTACATTATACTCTCAACGACGTTTAAATGGATACTATTGGACATATATTGGCCAACAAACGCAGGAAAAATGTCAAAAAATGTGCGGATTAGATGAAACCTGCAAGTTAGTCTTATCATATTTATAAATATAGTTTTATTTTTAAAAAGCAAACATCTGCAAATAGGGCTGCAAGCTTTAACTCTCGAAATAATTATTGTTATCTACATAAAGAATCTAAATCTACTAAGCCACGTTCTTATATAACTGCTACTGGATGGACCTATTTACATAAGCAATGCGAAGATGTTGAACAAAATCGTTTGTTGTTTCTAAACAATTCGATCACATTAAACTCTCTTTGGTTATTATCTTTCCAGAATGTGAATTTGTTCGTTTCCCAACAAGGTATTTAGTGTCTAATGATAGATCAACTCTGGCACGGCAAACTGAAGAGTCTTGCGTAAAAGCATGCAGGGAAGATGACGTTTACAATTGCTCGTATATATCATTTGTTCATAGTTTTAGATACATTTAATCACGTGATATATTTAAAGATCCGTTGACTTTAACACCGCGAACAAATATTGCTATTTAAACAAAGGAAATAAAGACACAAAACCAGCAAGTTTCAGATATGCCGATGGCTGGGTATATTATCAAAGACTTTGCAAAAAAGAAAGTATGTTTGAACCAATAACTTTCACACTTTACTAAGTATTTTTAAATTGAAGATATAACAAGCTGCACACGTTATGATGCTTATCCAAAAAGAACAATAACAGCTTACACACTGGCAACAGCAACGAAATATACAATTGAAATGTGTGCCAATCTATGTAACAGAGACGTCAAATGCTTGTATGTGTAATTTTGTCCCCCTATACAAAGACAAACAAACAAAACTAATATTTAATATTAACTAATCAACAAATTTCAGATCATTTGATTTCGTAAACAAGACAAAGACATGTTACCTTAAATCAGAATCAAAAGATACAAAGTACAATTACTTCAAAGCAAATATTAACTATATTCATTATCATAAAAATTGTGAAGAAGAGACAAGTAAGAAACAGTCATGTTTTCAGTGAAGATTTCCATAACTTCTTCTATCATTTCAGAATGTACCGATATCCAAGAATCGCCTTCGAGATATATGAATGCCTACATACATACTTCAGTAGTAACAGATAGTTTAGAAGAATGTAAACAACTTTGTGCTCAAGATCGAAACTGCTCGTAAGCATTAGATTCATTTATATATTTTCCAAAAATTTTCTCCTTTAACACGAAGTTTATCATCTTTCTTACTAGTGCCGGATATTTTGTCAAGTCTTCCAAATCTTGTTCAATAAGTCTTTACAACAAATATGATAAACCAGCCTACTGGAAACTGGCCGCGGGATATATATATATTCATAAGAATTGCTCTGTTCAACCAAAAGAAGGTCAGATATTTCTATACAGTTCATATTTAACAAGATAAAGTTAGTAACTATGAAAAGTTCAATTAAAAGTAACAAATGCACAGATTGCAAATTTGATGAGTATCCGAGAAGATACCTCAGAGGATATGACAGCGGAAGTGTTAAAGTTGAAAGTAAAGATGATTGTTGGAAAATATGCGAACAGGATGATATTAAACATTGCAAGTCAGTTAATTTCTTCAAATGTTGCTATTTTTCGCTTATTTAACATTTACAAACATTCTCTTGAAATTTAAAGAGCCGCTGATTTCAATGGAAACAACAATATGTGTTATCTAAATTCTGGTACAAAGGATACATACAAAACTGCATTTTTAATTGCCAATAAATGGTCATATTTCCAGAAAAACTGTGGAGAAAAGCAAGGTAACGTTATTCTTTTATTAAACACTACAAGATTAAAGCGTTATCAATATTTACTCAGGATGTGGACAATTTGAAACATTCCCCATGAGATACTTGAATGGTTTTGACCAAGCGTCAATATCGGGAATAACAAAAGAAGAATGCGAAAAAATGTGTGCACCAGATAAAAATTGCTTGTAAGTAATCTGAAAAAAGTCAACATCAATTCAATCTTTTCAAAAAATCATGACAACAAATTTAGATCATTTGACTACAACATTCCATCCAAATATTGTTATTTGAACCTTGAAACGAAAGATACAAAATATTCATCCTACATTGCAAACAAAAACTTTGAATATAATCATAAAATATGCAAAAACGAAACAAGTAATTTATTAAACACAAACAAAATATCAAATTGAATAATCAATCATTTCTTCCTATTCTTTCAAAAAGGATGCGAACAATTCGAAACATTCAAAAACAGATATTTATATTTAAATGACTTGACAAATGTTGTCACTTCAACAGCAGATCAATGTCAACAACTTTGTGCTAAAGATAAAAAATGCCCGTAAGTTTTCAGTTCCCTAATCAGAAATTAATCTACAAAGTTTCTTGTCAAAAGTTCCGTCGATTATTATATTCCTTCGAAAACCTGTTACATTAATCTGAAATCGAAAGAAACGGCCAGGAAATCATATTTGGCAAACACAAACTACATTTATCTTCATAAATCTTGTAAAAATGAAGAAAGTAATATTATTTAAAAAATCAAACGCTTTACTGACTAATTTATGACATTTATATCCAGGATGCGAGAAAATATTGGAATACGAAAACAGATATTTGAATGGTTTCCAATTGACAAATGTTGGAAAACAAACTCTGGAATCTTGTAAACAAATGTGTATAAAAGATAAAGATTGCAAGTTTGTGATCCGAAAAGTCTTTATGTTTTCATTTTATAACGAATTGAAATTTTGAACAGATCAGCTGATTTTAACACTGCAAATAAGTATTGTTATATAAGAACTGAAACGAAAGATTCAAAGCCGACTTCATATTTGGCGTCCTCTTCTTATATTCATTTAGAAAATAATTGCGAAGTTGAAGAAAGCAAGTTTTTCAACTAAACTCTTCTGTTACTTAACATATATTGAAATTTGCATTTACAGGATGTGAAAAGTTTCAACATTTTACACAAAGACGAATGAATGGTTATTCACGAACCAACTTGTTGGTGAAGGATTTTGAAGAATGTAAGAAATTATGTGCTGAAGATAAGAATTGCCCGTAAGTTCTTTATTCATTTGATTGTTTTCTCTATTTGACCAGTTTCCATTTGACTCTTTAATTACAGTGCAGCTGGATTTAATAATGCAAATAAATATTGCTACTTGTACTATGAAACGAGATACACGAAGCCTTCTGCATACATCATTACTGCCAGCTGGGAATATATTCATAAGAACTGTAATGAAACTGTAAAAGATAGTGAGTAGCATTATATTGTTCCTATTGAGTTAGTATATTAATTACACGAAAAACCAGATTGCACGTCGGAGAGACATTTAACAAGATATTTGAGAGGAAATGACATAACATATGTCGCTGGACAAACTGAAGAATCATGTAGAAAATTATGTGAAGAAGACGATGTCACTCATTGCAAGTGGGTGTTGACTTCGTTTAAAATTGATATATTCTAATCATTGTCAATTATCTTTTACTACTAAAAATCACTTTACAATTTTAATGTGGTTTAGATCTGCCGATTACAACTCTAACAATAAATACTGTTACTTGAATAAAGAAACGAAAGAATCGAAATCCTCTGATTATCTCTATGCGAATGGATATGTTTATCTCGAAAGAACATGCAAGCCATCTGGTAACTTAATTCTTTTTGATTTCTACAGTTTTTTCAATGTATTACTTTTGACAAATCAGTCTATCCTGGATGCAAAAAGTATGATTCGTATCCAAGAAGATATATCACAGCTTATAATATAGTTTCGGCAACCAAATACACATTGGCAATGTGTATGGATCTCTGTAATAAAGATGAGAAATGCTTGTAAGTGACAATTATCATTTCTTTACATCATTCTCAACAGCAATTGTTGTTTATAGATCATTTGATTTCTACAATAAAACAATGACATGCAACATAAAATCTGAATCGAAAGATACAAAGTACAGTTACTTTAAAACCGATGCCAATTCTGTTCATTATCATAAAAATTGTGAAGCAGAGACAAGTAAGAAATAGTGATGTTTTAAGAGAAGATTTTCATAAGTTCTCCTATCATTTCAGAATGTACCGATATTCAAGAATCACCATCGAGATATTTGAGTGCTTACATACATGCTTCGGTCGTAACGGATAGTTTAGAAGAATGTAAAGAACTTTGTGCTCAAGATCGAAACTGCTCGTAAGCTTTAATTTTAAAGATATAAAAATAGACAATTATCCCTGTTGAATTGAAATTTTGCGTTTCAGTGCTGGATACTTCGTTAAATCTTCCAAATCGTGTTCCATAAGTCTCTTCAATAAATATGACAAACCAGCCTATTGGAAACTAGCTGCGGGATACATCTATATTCATAAGAATTGCTCAGTTCAACCAAAAGATGGTGAGTAAAATATTTTTTTGGCAATGATGGAATGTTTTTTTTTCCTGCGAGGTAGTGCACCAAGAAGTGATAATATCTTTCATAAATTGATATAGTTTTAAAGTATCTTTGGAAATTTTTTGTTCAATGCGTCTTAAGGTTTTCAAAGGCTTGTCAAATCGCCATGTTAAATTTAGATCATAGATTAGGTGGTATAGTTTTCAAAGTTGATTTTTTTGGTCGATGTGAAAGATATGGTGTGATATTTTTCTTTGAATTTTTTGATATTTCTCTGATGAAGAAACGATAGGCTTTTAAAGTCCATGTTGAACCAGTAGGAAGCGTAATGTAACGATTTTATAAATATCGAGAAGAGTGTAATGTTCTTATATATTGAACTTTATATTGAAATAGACAACAATATAAAGAAAGAAATTGTTTTTTGTTAATGAAAACAATATCTATTTAAAAAAAAGATGGAAATGTAAAAAAGTTTATAGAACATTTACTGAGTTTAGTAGTAGACAATTTGATTCTTAAAATCGAGGTGGTATTGATATATACTGTATATATATCACTCACTATATACATATACTGTCAAGTTACCATGAAAAACTTTCGAGAAGAACGGATGACATTGTTGAAATTCAATTGAAAATAATTTGTACAATCATATCTCTTCTCTTGTGGATATACTATACAGTACTATACGCTCAAAAATACCCATATTAAATATATGCAAAAAAGGAACAACACAAACAGAACTTGAGTAAAGAGAAAAGTAAATATGACAAAACACTTGCAATGTTTATCACTTTCTAATAAGAAAACAATTTATCATTTTCATTATCAATGATAGATTTAAAAATTTTAGGAATATTTAATCCTTTAATAATCGGAGAGAAATATTTACACTAAAAGTAAAAAAACGAAAGAAATCAATAATACATCGTCTCATCAATTAACTCTGAATTGAAGAATACAAAGGTTAATCAATATTAATATTAAAAACACCAGTAACAACTACTTGTAGATTTATCAAATCAAAACATAACAAATCCCCAAAAATATAAACATTACATTAAAAAAAACAACTGTCACCAACTTTAATCTATCTTTTCCTAAACCCACTACAACTTTAAAATTATACAATAGATATTCTCAAAATTCAAAACGAACACTATTAAAAGATTGAATAATTTAATGTCATCATTAAGAACATTTCCAACAACAGATTGTAAATTTGATGAATATCCAAGAAGATATCTCAGAGGCTATGACAGCGAAAGTGTTAAAGTTGAAAGTAAAGACGAATGTTGGAAAATATGTGAACAGGATGATAATAAACATTGCCAGTAAGTTCGTCAAAAGATTGATATTTCTGCATTTTCCACAAGGAACATTACCCAATGTTCTCTTAAAATATTTCAGAGCTGCAGATTTTAATGGCAATAATAACATGTGTTATCTAAATTCTGGTACAAAGGATACATACAAAACTGCATTTTTAATTGCCAATAAATGGTCATATTTCCAGAAAAACTGTGGAGAAAAGCAAGGTAACGTTGTTCTGTTATTAAACATTACAAGATTAAAGCGTTATCAATATTTACTCAGGATGTGGACAATTTGAAACATTCCCCATGAGATACTTGAATGGTTTTGACCAATCTTCAATATCGGGAATAACCAAAGATCAATGTTTAGACATGTGTGCACAGGATAAAAATTGCTTGTAAGTAATCTGAAAAAACTAAACACCAATTCATTCTTTTCAAAAAATCATGACAACAAATTCAGATCATTTGACTACAACATTCCATCCAAATATTGTTATTTGAACCTTGAAACGAAAGATACAAAATATTCATCCTACATTGCAAACAAAAACTTTGAATATAATCATAAAATATGCAAAAACGAAACAAGTAATTTATTAAACACAAACAAAATATCAAATTGAATAATCAATCATTTCTTCCTATTCTTTCAAAAAGGATGCGAACAATTCGAAACATTCAAAAACAGATATTTATATTTAAATGACTTGACAAATGTTGTCACTTCAACAGCAGATCAATGTCAACAACTTTGTGCTAAAGATAAAAAATGCCCGTAAGTTTTCAGTTCCCTAATCAGAAATTAATCTACAAAGTTTCTTGTCAAAAGTTCCGTCGATTATTATATTCCTTCGAAAACCTGTTACATTAATCTGAAATCGAAAGAAACGGCCAGGAAATCATATTTGGCAAACACAAACTACATTTATCTTCATAAATCTTGTAAAAATGAAGAAAGTAATATTATTTAAAAAATCAAACGCTTTACTGACTAATTTATGACATTTATATCCAGGATGCGAGAAAATATTGGAATACGAAAACAGATATTTGAATGGTTTCCAATTAACAAATGTTGGAAAACAAACTCTGGAATCTTGTAAACAAATGTGTATAAAAGATAAAGATTGCAAGTTTGTGATCCGAAAAGTCTTTATGTTTTCATTTTATAACGAATTGAAATTTTGAACAGATCAGCTGATTTTAACACTGCAAATAAGTATTGTTATATAAGAACTGAAACGAAAGATTCAAAGCCGACTTCATATTTGGCGTCCTCTTCTTATATTCATTTAGAAAATAATTGTGAAGTTGAAGAAAGTAAGTTTTTCAACTAAACTCTTCTGTTACTTAACAATATTGAAAATTGCATTTACAGGATGTGAAAAGTTTCAACATTTTACACAAAGACGAATGAATGGTTATTCACGAACCAACTTGTTGGTGAAGGATTTTGAAGAATGTAAGAAATTATGTGCTGAAGATAAGAATTGCCCGTAAGTTCTTTATTCATTTGATTGTCTTCTCTATTTGACCAGTTTCCATTTGACTCTTTAATTACAGTGCAGCCGGATTTAATAATGCAAATAAATATTGCTATTTGTACTATGAAACGAGATATACGAAGCCTTCTGCATACATCATTACTGCAGGATGGGAATATATTCATAAGAACTGTAATGAAACTGTAAAAGATAGTGAGTAGCATTATATTGTTCCTATTCAGTCAAAATATTGATTACACCAAAAATCAGATTGCACGTCGGAGAGACATTTAACAAGATATTTGAGAGGAAATGACATAACACATGTTGCTGGACAAACTGAAGAATCATGTAGAAAATTATGTGAAGATGATGACGTCACTCATTGCAAGTAAGTGTTTGCCTCGAAATCGTCAACTCAATAAGTGTTTTTATGATGTGTCAACTTTTCCAGATCTGCCGATTACAACTCTAACAATAAATACTGTTACTTGAATAAAGAAACGAAAGAATCGAAATCCTCTGATTATCTCTACGCGAATGGATATGTTTATCTCGAAAGAACATGCAAGCCATCTGGTAACTTAATTCTGTTCTATTTCTATAGTTTTCCAATATATTACTTGTAACAAATTAGTCTATCCTGGATGCAAAAAGTATGATTCGTATCCAAGAAGATATATCACAGCTTATAATATAGTTTCGGCAACCAAATACACATTGGCAATGTGTATGGATCTCTGTAACAAAGATGAGAAATGCTTGTAAGTGACAATTTTCATTTCTTTACATCATTCTCAACAGCAATTGTTGTTTATAGATCATTAGATTTCTACAATAAAACAATGACATGCAACATAAAATCTGAATCGAAAGATACAAAGTACAGTTACTTTAAAACCGATGCCAATTCTGTTCATTATCATAAAAATTGTGAAGCAGAGACAAGTAAGAAATAGTGATGTTTTAAGAGAAGATTTTCATAAGTTCTCCTATCATTTCAGAATGTACCGATATTCAAGAATCACCATCGAGATATTTGAGTGCCTACATACATGCTTCAGTAGTAACAGATAGCTTAGAAGAATGTAAAGAACTTTGTGCTCAAGATCGAAACTGCTCGTAAGCTTTACTTATAAAGATATTAAATTAAACGTTATCCCTTTTGAATTGAAATTTTGTGTTTCAGTGCTGGATACTTCGTTAAATCTTCCAAATCGTGTTCAATTAGTCTTTTCAATAAATATGACAAACCAGCCTATTGGAAACTAGCTGCGGGATACATCTATATTCATAAGAATTGCTCTGTTCAACCAAAAGAAGGTTGGTTATTGATCATTTCTAATTTTTTAAATATCAAAATTTTGTATTCGGAAAATTGAATTGAATGAATAATTATACAGATTGTAAATTTGATGAATATCCAAAGAGATACCTTACAGGGTATGACAGCGAAAGTGTTAAAGTTGAAAGTAAAGACGAATGTTGGAAAATATGTGAACAGGATGATATTAAATATTGCAAGTCAGTTGTTTTCTTCGAATTTCTCAATAATTACCATGTTTGATGTTTAAAGGGCCGCTGATTTCAATGGAAACAACAATATGTGTTATCTAAATTCTGGTACAAAGGATACATATAAAACATCATTTTTAATTGCAAACAAATGGTCATATTTCCAGAAAAACTGTGGTGAAAAGAAAGGTAATTTAATATTTCGTTTTAAATCATAACTCCTAGTGAATATCGCTTACCTCTTGATAGGATGTGAACAGTTCGAAACTTTCCCAATGAGATATTTGAATGGATTTGACCAAGCGTCAATATCAGGAATATCAAAAGAGGAATGTGAAGAAATGTGTGCAAAAGATAAAAACTGCTTGTTAGTATTATTTTGTAAAAAATTTTCTTTTTAATGCAAATTATCTTTGATATTTTTCCAGATCATTTGATTTCTATATCCCTTCGAAATATTGTTATTTGAGCCTGGAAACTAAAGATACGAAATACACATCATATCTCTCTTCTAACAACTATGAATACAACCAAAAACTGTGCAAAAATGAGACAAGTGAGCTTTGCTAGTTTTTTCTCATATTTTCATTTCTTTAATCAAACAAAAATATAAAATATTTTTACTTTCAGGATGCGAGAAATTCGAAAGATTCAATAATAGATATTTAAACGGAAATGATTTAACAAGTATTGTCACTGGAACTGTTGAGAAATGTCAGGAATTATGTGCTGAAGATAAATCATGCTCGTCTGTGTTACATCTTTTTTTGATTCGCATTGCATCATATAATGATATATCATTTAAATGTAAATTTTTAACTGCTCAATTATAGATCTGCCGATTTTTATATACCTTCGAAAACTTGCTATTTGAATTTGAAATCCAAGAATACGGCTCGAACATCATATTTGGCAAACACAAATTACATATATCTTCACAAAACCTGCGAAAATGAAGAAAGTAATATCACAAGTCCCTTTTATCTTTCTTATATGAAATAAAACATATTTCGATTACAGGATGTGACAAGATATTTGAATACGAACATAGATACTTGAATGGGTTCGAATTAACCAATGTTGGAAAACAAACATTGGAATCTTGTAAACAAATGTGTATAAAAGATAAAGATTGCAAGTATGTGTAATTTTAATATAATTGAATATCTATTCTTTAAATGATCTGATCCGAAAAGTCATTATGTTTTCATTTTATAACGAATTGAAATTTTAAACAGATCAGCTGATTTTAACACTGCCAATAAGTATTGTTATATAAGAATTGAAACGAAGGATTCAAAGCCGACTTCATATTTGGCGTCCTCTTCTTATATTCATTTAGAAAATAATTGCGAAGTTGAAGAAAGCAAGTTTTTCAACTAGACTCTTCTGTTACCTAACAATATTAAAAAATGCGTTTACAGGATGCGAAAAGTTTCAACATTTTACACAAAGACGAATGAATGGTTTTTCACGAACCAACTTGTTGGTGAAGGATTTTGAAGAATGTAAAAAATTATGTGCTGAAGATAAGAATTGCCCGTAAGTTTTAAACTTTTGTTTTTTAGAAAGTGTATTAGGTACGAACGAAATATTTCAAAGTCTGTAGTATTTTGGAGAAAAATCGGTAACAAAATTTAATAATTTGATTTTACTATAACCTACAGATTACTCTAAAAGGTTAACAAGCAGATCGTTACTTTTCTAATAAAATTAAGACATTTTTGTCCTCAAAAAAGACCCTAATATCTTTTTTCGTGTTGTCTAAATTTTCATAGTGAGCCCTTTAGATGTGATCCTTTAATTTTTCTTAAAGAATACTGTCAGATATTATCACATTAATGATATATGAAGCATGTGAAATAATAAGCATCACTGAACTAGAAATCTCTGTTATAAAGAGACTAGTTAGAGGTCTCACATTGCCATACAAAATATGCATCTTTTTTCCTGGTTAAATTTGTGTAACTTTTTTCTTAACTACTTCTGATTATCAATTTTTCTATAGAGTTGATTGTTTCTCTCTACACTATGAATTTCATATGAATTTTACATGAATGATAATAGAACATTGAACACAGCAGTTTCACAGCCATGGACATGAATTACCCTTATTTACACCTAAATTCTAACGTAATGGCTTAACCAAACAAAATTTTTCACAAGGAAAAAGTACAAATAGTACAAGACAATTGAAGAGTGACATTAGCAACATTAGCATTAACTAGGCGTTTTTGAAATAAAAGCAAAGTTTATCAAATATTTCATTCGAAATTGATATTAAAAGAATCTTGACTATGATAAAATTTTCACACTTAGAGCCGCTGGTTTCAACAATGGAAACAAATATTGCTACTTGTACTATGAAACGAGACATACAAAACCGTCTTCTTATATTATTACTGCAGGATGGGAATATATTCATAAGAACTGTAACCAAACTGTAAAAGATAGTGAGTTTTGTAATATTGTTTTGTTTCAATTAAAAAGTTGATTATTCAAAAAAACAGATTGCACATCAGAGAGACATTTAACAAGATATTTGAGAGGAAATGACATAACATATGTCGCTGGACAAACTGAAGAATCCTGCAGGAAGTTATGTGAAGATGATGATGTGACAAATTGCAAGTAGGTTTTTCACTAGTTGAAAATAGTACATTCTAATTATTGTTAATTATCTTTTGCTACTAAAAATCACTTTACAATTTTAATGTGGTTTAGATCTGCCGATTACAACTCTAACAATAAATACTGTTACTTGAATAAAGAAACGAAAGAATCGAAATCCTCTGATTATCTCTATGCGAATGGATATGTTTATCTCGAAAGAACATGCAAGCCATCTGGTAACTTAATTCTTTTTGATTTCTACAGTTTTTTCAATGTATTACTTTTGACAAATCAGTCTATCCTGGATGCAAAAAGTATGATTCGTATCCAAGAAGATATATCACAGCCTATAATATAGTTTCGGCAACCAAATACACATTGGCAATGTGTATGGATCTCTGTAATAAAGATGAGAAATGCTTGTAAGTGACAATTATCATTTCTTTACATCATTCTCAACAGCAATTGTTGTTTATAGATCATTTGATTTCTACAATAAAACAATGACATGCAACATAAAATCTGAATCGAAAGATACAAAGTACAGTTACTTTAAAACCGATGCCAATTCTGTTCATTATCATAAAAATTGTGAAGCAGAGACAAGTAAGAAATAGTGATGTTTTAAGAGAAGATTTTCATAAGTTCTCCTATCATTTCAGAATGTACCGATATTCAAGAATCACCATCGAGATATTTGAGTGCCTACATACATGCTTCAGTAGTAACAGATAGCTTAGAAGAATGTAAAGAACTTTGTGCTCAAGATCGAAACTGCTCGTAAGCTTTAATTATAAAGATATTAAATTAAACGTTATCTCTTTTGAATTGAAATTTTGTGTTTCAGTGCTGGATACTTCGTTAAATCTTCCAAATCGTGTTCAATTAGTCTTTTCAATAAATATGACAAACCTGCCTATTGGAAACTAGCTGCGGGATACATCTATATTCATAAGAATTGTTCTGTTCAACCAAAAGAAGGTCGGTTATTGATAATTACTAATTTTCTAAATATCAAAAATATGTATTCGGAAAATTGAATTGAAAGAATGTAATATACAGATTGTAAATTTGATGAATATCCAAGACGATATCTAAATGGGTATGATAGTGAAAGTTTGAGAGTTGAGAGTAAAGAAGCTTGTTGGAAACTATGCGAAGAAGACGATATTAAACATTGCAAGTCAGTTGATTATTTGAAATGTTGCTATATTTAACCTTTTTAATATTTATGAACTATTTTTGAAATTCAAAGAGCCGCTGATTTCAATGGAAACAACAATATGTGTTATCTAAATTCTGGTACAAAGGATACATATAAAACATCATTTTTAATTGCAAACAAATGGTCATATTTCCAGAAAAACTGTGGAGAAAAGAAAGGTAATTTAATATTTCGTTTTAAATCATAACTCCTAGTGAAAATCTTGTCTCTATAGGATGCGAGGAATTTGAAACATTCCCATCGAGATACTTGAATGGACTTGATCAAGCTTCGATATCATCAGTATCAAAAGAAGAGTGCCAGGAAATGTGTGCAATAGATAAAAACTGCTTGTACGTTTGTTTTCATTTAAGAACTAAATACATTGCTAAATAGTCATATCTTTCTTTCAGATCATTTGACTATAACCTTCCTTCGAAATATTGTTATTTGAGCCTTGAAACTAAAGATACGAAATACAACTCATATCTCTCTTCTAACAACTTTGAATATAATCAAAAACTTTGTAAAAATGAAACAAGTATATTTCATTCAAACTCCTTTAATTGTAGATTTTTAAAGATTTAATATCAATGAAATATCTTCATTTACAGGATGTGAAAAATTTGAAAGATTTAATAATAGATATTTGACCGGAAATGATTTAACAAGTATTGTCATGGAAACAGTTGAAAAATGTCAAGAATTTTGCGCCAAAGATAAATCATGCCCGTTTGTATTATGTTTTTTTTAATAAATTTCATGTCATATTGTTTGAGAAATATTTTAAAATGTATTTTCTAAATTGCGCATTTATAGATCTGCCGATTTTTATATACCTTCGAAAACTTGCTATATCAATCTGAAATCCAAGAATACGGCTCGAACATCATATTTGGCAAACACAAATTACATATATCTTCACAAAACCTGCGAAAATGAAGAAAGTAATATCACAAGTCCTTTTTATCTTTCTTATATGAAATAAAACTTATTTCGATTACAGGATGTGACAAGATATTTGAATACGAACATAGATACTTGAATGGGTTCGAATTAACCAATGTTGGAAAACAAACATTGGAATCTTGTAAACAAATGTGTGTCAGAGACAAAGATTGCAAGTCGGTGAATTTAAATAGAATTGATTATTGATACTTAAAATGATATGAAACCAAATACAGATCAGCTGATTTTAACACTGCAAATAAGTATTGTTATATAAGAACTGAAACGAAAGATTCAAAGCCGACTTCATATTTGGCGTCCTCTTCTTATATTCATTTAGAAAATAATTGCGAAGTTGAAGAAAGCAAGTTTTTCAACTAAACTCTTCTGTTACTTAACATATATTGAAATTTGCATTTACAGGATGTGAAAAGTTTCAACATTTTACACAAAGACGAATGAATGGTTATTCACGAACCAACTTGTTGGTGAAGGATTTTGAAGAGTGTAAGAAATTATGTGCTGAAGATAAGAATTGCCCGTAAGTTTATAGTTCATTCATTTGTTTTGCGTAATTGAGCAGTTTTCATGTTGCTGATATGTTAATTACAGTGCAGCTGGATTCAATACTGCAAACAAATATTGCTATTTGTACTTTGAAACGAGAAAAACTAAACCTGCTTCGTTTATCATTACTGCTGGATGGGAATACATCCATAAAAATTGCAACGAGACAACAAGAGATAGTCAGTTTTTCTGTTGAAACGAATTCTATATCTTAGATAGCGTTTTTTATTTTTTTCTGTAGATTGTACTTTTGAGAGACAGCCATCTCGATATTTGAGTGGAAACGATAGAGTGTCTGTCAGCGGACAAACAGAAGAGTCATGCAGAAGACTTTGTGAAGAGGATGATGTTCATAATTGCCAGTAATTGCTTTAGGTTCAAAAGTTAAGTTTTGTTTAAGGAAGGTTTTATTTGTAGAGCGGCTGACTTTAATTCCAATAATGGCTATTGTTATTTGAATAAAGAAACGAAAGATTCGAAGCCTGGCTCGTATGTTTACGGAAGTGGTTGGGTTTATCTTTACAAGAGCTGCAAAGCTGAAGGTAATATGCTGTGAAATTGTAAGTTACTCAATAATTTCAATATTATTTTGTTGCAGTTGTTGCTGGATGTAAAAAGTACCGAGTTTTTCCGAAGCGAGTTATGTCAAGTTTTGTCATAGCAACACTCACAAAGCAAACTAACGAGACGTGTATGGAATTGTGTAACAAAGATAGTAAATGCTTGTATGTATCAATATTTTATAGAGTTGTAAAAACATGTATCATTTCTTTTCAAGATCTTATGCCTTTTTCCCGAATAAAAACACCTGCACTCTCTATTCGGAATCAAAAGATACGAAATACAATTATTTTAAAGCTGATATCACCGCCATTTATAATCTTAAAACTTGTAAAGAAGAGAAAGGTTTAAAGATTTTTATTGCAAATATAAAATTGTTTGTTTGTATTTTGTCCTAACTTTTCTACTATTCCTTTGTAGTTTGCAAAGAATTTGAAGTTTTCAACTCGAGATACATTTACAGCAATTACCAAACCAACTTTGTTGCAACATCTTTGGAAGAGTGTCAAGATGTTTGCGCTGCCGATAATGGTTGCTTGTATGTATTGTAACAGTTGGAAAAACTTTCTCCGTATTGTTAGTGACGACTGCATAATTATGTCATTCCATACCAGGTCAGCTGATTTCAATGGAGCTAACAAGTATTGTTATCTAAGTACCACAAATATTAACAAAAAGAAAGCTTGGCGTATTGGTGCTGGTTGGACCTATTTACACAAAAATTGCGGCTTGAAGCGTCAAACCAGTAAGTGAAGAGTGTTTAAAGATTAATGTTTAAAAGAATAATAACCTTTTCAGACTGTACGTTCGTTGAATACAAGGGAAGATATCTGTATAATTTATATAAGGAATCTATTGGTGGACAAACTAGCGAAAGTTGTAAGGAGCTTTGCGATCAAGACGTTATCAATCATTGCAAGTAATGAAGTCTACATTAATGCACTATCTTTCATTTTCGCTCTATAATGATGCTCTTTTAAGATCCTCCAACTTCGCTATATCATCTAAAACTTGCTATTTGAACTACGAGAGTAAAACGACTAAACCGAACGTTTTCTACGGTTCCGATAATTATATATATTGGCATAAAAATTGCGGAGAAGAAGAAGGTTTAATTAAAGATTTATAGTTGAATTTTGAATGATTTCAAGAGGTTTCTTTTTTTCATCTTTAATTTTAAAGGTTGCAAGAAATTGATTGAATATCCTAAGAGATATTTGAATGGATTTGATCAAGCAACGATTAATAAGCTATCTTTGGAGGAATGTAAATCAAGGTGTATTTTGGATTCTGCTTGTAAATCTGCCGATTACGATACAAAAAGTCAAACCTGTCGTCTAAGTCTGTTCAATAAAGACGACAAACCCGGCGAACTCAGAGTATCAAATGACGTAATCTACTTGGAGAAATCTTGTAAAAAACCCGAAAAACGTATGTGTAGATGTTAATTTTTTAAAACTGATAAAAACGGAAGCATTCTCATTATTTTCAGTTTGCGATAAGTTTGAAGAGTACCAATCAAGATATCTGGTTGGAAATGATCAACACTCAGCAGCAGGCATAACGATCGATGAATGTAAAAAGTTCTGCGCTGAAGATAAACATTGCTTGTTAGTTATACACAACGACAATATAGATAAACAATTCACCAAACTATCCAAATAACTGTTTTTTATCATTTTTCCTTTCACAGATCTGCTGATTATCACACACCTTCTAAAACATGCTATTTTAGTCTTTCGAGTATAGACAAACAAGGAAAATCTTGGGCTTTAGATTCCACTAGAATATATCTTCATAAAACTTGCGTACCGAGAGAAAAATCCAGTAATTAATTAAACGTTCTCTTCCTCTTCCTAAACAACTATAATTTACAATTAATTAATTTCAGATTGCACATTTGTCGAACATAAATCGAGATATTTAAACAGTCTCTATAAGGAGTATGTTGCTGGACAGACGAAAGAAAGTTGTAAGGTTCTATGCGAGCAGGATGTTGTAAACAATTGCAAGTTTGTATTTCATCAATTTACCTCATTCCCTCTTATTTAATATACTTTTACGTTTTCTTACAAACGTCAAACAATAGGTCAGCTAATTACTATAATAAGTATTGCTATTTGAACTACGAAAGTAAGGATACGAAACCAAAGAGTTATCTTGCCGGTGTGGGATATACTTATTGGGACAAAAAGTGCTCGAATGAAGATGGTATAAAACATAAAAATCTTAATACATTCATACTTTAAAACATTCAAACTTTAATATTTGCAGTCTGTAAGACAATGATTGAGTACAAGTACCGATACATTTCCGGTTACAATCATGTTTGTCTCAACAACCAAAATCTTCAGGATTGCAAAGACTATTGTATCGATGACAAAGCTTGCTTGTAAGTTTAAAAAGTAAATTTCTATGTGCTATAACTTAGAAACGTTGTTTCCATTTCTCTTCTAGATCAGCCGAATATTACACGAACAATAAGCAATGCTGTCTCAGCCACGAGAGTAAAGATACACAGCCGAAATCCTATATCGCCTCTCCTACTGTTATATACCTACAAAAGAGTTGTAAAAATGAAACTAGTAAGTTATTTAATTGAAAACGTACGCATAATTAATATTTAAATAATTTGATTTCTCGTAGGTTGCAAAAAATTCGAAATTTTCAATAGTCGAAGAGTAACTGGCTACGATCAAACATCTGTTGTTCTTCCTACTAAGGAGAGCTGCCAGAAACTTTGCGCCGAAGATAAAAATTGCCCGTACGTTGTCCTATTAGCTGTATTCTTTTACAGATTATTATTTCTATTCAAACTTTAATTGAAAATAAAGGTCTGCCGATTACGATATCGGTGGAAAGAAGTGCTATATCAATAAGGAAACCAAGAATACAGTTCACGCCAACTTTCATACTATTAAAAATTGGATCTACTTCCATAAGACATGCGAAAATGAGACACGTAAACCTAAATTTTTAACAAATACAACTATTTCAGTATATCTCTGATGTTTTAGGTTGTACAACCTTCGAAGAATATCCATTTAGATATATTAATGGTCTAGATCAAACTTCAATTGCTGGACAAACTAAGGAAAGTTGCTGGGCACTATGCAGTCAGGATAAGGATTGCCCGTAAGTTGGAAAATAGTTCAAATTGTAACAACAGTTACTAAATCTTACATTTCTTTCCATTCAGATCGGTCGACTATGTTGCAAGCACTAAAACATGCTATTTAAATTCAGTAACTAAGGATACTAAACCAGCAAGTTGGTTATTAAGTAAATCATATACATATCTGCATAAGAGCTGCAACATTCAACCTGACGATGGTCTGTTTACAATAAAGTAAATGACATAGTTAAAAAAAAAACCAACTTGTATAACATTTAGGTTGTAAATTTGAGGAAATTAAATCTACTTATCTATCAAGTCTTGACTCTAGTTGGATACATGGTCTAACTAGTGAACAATGTAGAGATCTATGCAAAAAGGACGATGTATTAAATTGCACGTAAGCTAGAGATAATTTATCAATGGTATTACATAGATATCTTTTTATATTAAAACATTTGTGAATTTTATATAGGTCTGCCGACTATAACACTGGGAATAAATGGTGTTATCTAAATAAGGGTTCAAAGGATACACATCCTGCAAATTACATATATAATAAAGACTTTGTTTACTGGCATAAAGATTGCGATAATAGACCAGGTACCTACTATTCGTAGTTAATTCGAAAAAATCTATTAATATACTAATAAACCTTTTGATCAATAGTATGCAAGAAAATGATTGAATATAAATATAGATACATAAGTAAAGCAAGCTTCGTATTCCCATCAATTAGCGGTCAAACAGCCGATAAATGCTCGAATGATTGTGCAGACAACAAGGCATGCTTGTATGTTTTTAAAATATTCAATAAAGCAAATTTGGAGGATAAAGATTAATCTCTATTTACTACTCTCCTAATAGATCTGCTTCGTTTAATTCAAAGACAAAGGTTTGCTATCATAGCTTCCATAATAAAGATACAGTTTATAAAGAATATAAATTGGGAGTTGATTGGACATATTTCCATAAATCTTGTACAGAAGAGCAAAGTAATTATTTTATCATTTCGCGAGTCTTAGGAGAATAATTGAATAACTTTCGTCTCCTTTTATAGAATGCAAAAATATGGAAAAGTTCGAATATAGATATCTAACGGGCACAGACGGTTTATCTGTAAAGGTTAATACGGTAGAGGAATGCGAGAAGATATGCTTTGAAGACAAGGAATGCCCGTAGGATATTTTTTAAAATCCGTGTAAAGGATACATTATATTTTAATCGGATTTTCTTTTCTAGATCGGCTAATTATCTTACAACTACAAAAGTTTGCTATTTAAAAACCTCTGATAAAGACAAATCACCAAATAACTATAAAGCACATGCCAAGTATATCTACATCCATAAATCATGTTCAAAAGAGAATAGTAAGAATTATTAGTATAAATCTAATTATAAGTCCTAATCCTATCTTGTCTTAGGATGTTCCCAATTCGAAAAGTTCGAATCACGTTATATAAGATCAAATGATTGGACCTATCTTTCAAGTCAAACTGAAGAAAGCTGCCAAAAACTCTGTTCACAAGATATTAAATGCCAGTAAGATGAATGATTATAAAAGGAAGATAAATTCATTTTTTTGAATTTTCATTCTTTATTTTCTAATTAGCTCGGCTGATTTTAATCATGTCCGGAAAGTTTGCTATTTGAACAAAGGAGAGATAAATTCTATACCTAAGACTTGGGCCCTAGATAACAACTATATTCTTTTATTAAAGAACTGTAAACCATCCACAACGAAAGGTAAGAACGAATTATATAACTATTTGCGGCTGTCATTAAAATTCATGTTATCTGTCCATTAGAATGCAAAATGGTGAAATATAAAGAAAAGTTCCTGAGAAGTTTCGATAAGGAAACTGTTAGAGGACAGACTGAAGAGAGCTGTATGAGATTGTGCCTGAACGATATTGTCAATAATTGCCCGTAAGATGATATTTTTAAAACTTGCTTGTATTTCTATTAAACGCAAAATTCTATAACCAGATCCGCTGAATATAATAAAAACTCCAAAATATGTTATCTCAACTATGAAACAAAGGATACAAAGCCTCAAAATTATAAATCTTCCACTATCTACTCCTATTTCCATCGTGATTGTTCAGGTAAAGATGTAACTGTTTTGACAAAGGAACAATTAAAAAAAACCAATCTAATTAAATTTTTCATTAATTCAGGTCAAACTAATATCTAATTAATTCTGAAACAAAGAAACAAGAAATCGATGAATATATTTAGACATTTTGAAAATTATTAAAATATCTAATCAATGAAATATTATTAAAAAGAATGCTATTATTCAATGATTATTCTCTTTCCTTCCTTTATGGGTCATACTTTCTTCGGGAATTCATCTAAAAAGAGAATGCAATCTATATAGTAAAAGAAACAGAAAAAAAAAACAATAAAATGATTGCTATTCGTACTTTTCTATTATCTAATTCAGTAGTTAAAACATTCATTACTCCCATAAACATTGACATTCACAGGATTAGAGGATGATATATAGTTTTGATAAGTTTATTTATCTTTACAGTCTAAAGAGACAAATAATTTAAACCGTTGTAATTTATCTTCCTAATTTTTTATCTCTTCAACTCTTTCGTTCGTAAAAATTACAAGAGCAATGACGTCACAGTCGTTTTGGATAGGGAGGTGATTTTCTGTTGAATATAATTTAGAGTCGAAAAAGTAAGCAGATATTCTTTAACTAGAAACAATTAGATATAAATAATAATTTAAAGTTAACAATTAGCAAAAAAGCGAAATAGGAATTCAATGATTGAACTGTCATTCACCATACCTAATTTAATAGAGAGAAATAGAAGACTAGCACTAATTGGATATAACTAAGAGCTATATATATATATATATATATATATATAGAGAGAGAGAGAGAGAGAGAGAGAGAGAGAGAAAGAGAGAAAGAAAGATTAGGATTTAGTATAAAATAGATTTTCTAATAATAAATATAGTAAATAAGTTAGGTAATAAACTATATTAGGGGCAACTGCAAACTGTTACTGTAATATATCCTTCATAGGCCTTGAATTTATACTTCTGGTCTAGTGTTTTCCTATCTAATCCCTACAATATTTTACGACATATTTATCAATATTATTATCATTAATATAAGCTTTATTGCATAAATAAAAAGAGAGTTTTCTTCGTAATTTCTCAGAATTTATTACAATACTATCTTGAACTACGAAGAGAAAGTAGACTTACTCCAAACTAGACCTAAAAGTTAAATTAATTAATTCTTTTATGTAAATATTGTTCCATATATTATTTTTTTTTTGAAGTTATAAATTTTGAGTAATTAAGAAATTATTGTTTGTAAATCGTTGTGTAATAGATGGTGTTAAAGTAAACAATTGAAGAATGGTCGTATCTGATCGTTTACAGCGACTGCTGTCGTTAGATAAAACACTGATTAAAACCAGTAAATCCATATCAGATTTCACATTGCTCACAACTTACCAACGACTTGTTTGGACTCGTAGACCTTTCCCTTTCATTCTTCTATTTATACAAAGGTGAGCGGTGGCCATTAGCTGAGTATAAAAAATATTTATTAATTTTATCAGTCCGTTTTGCAGTTGGAGAATAGTAGAGAAGAAGAAGAAGAAATTATGGACGAACTTGAATTGAGAGTTTTTAGAAAGAAAAGATCTGTTTTTGTTGAAAATGTTGAAATGAACAGCACATTAATGGAATCGTTGAAAAATCACGAAATATTTAATAGCGAGGAATGTACTGCAATTATGGTAGGCCTAATATTAAGTTACCACCTTTCTATCCTTTTACCGATGGATTATATATTAGCAATAAAAGAGTTAAAAAAAAACAACAATGAATTTTTTTCTACTTAGAATGAAAGAACGCAAAATTCAAAAGTTATGAAATTTTATGAACTTTTAACAACAAGTTCAAAGAATGGCCTCTTTGAACAAATTTGCATGGCATTAATGAGATCTTACCCGTGGTTATCTAAGGAATTACAATCCGATTTAAAGAACGAAAGGGGTAATTTGGTTATTGATCAAGATGTGCAAAAAGAAGCTTCCATGCTTGTTCACAGGTTTAAATTTCTCATAAAAAATTCAATTTTTGTTGAATTGAAAAGCGAATAAGAAATTATAATTTTCCTATAGAAAATTCGGCACCAGTAGAAGATTATCGGAGTTAGAAAAGAAAGAAATACAAGATATGATTGCTCTTAAAATACAAATTTCTAAAGAAGAATGGAGAACCGAATTACAAGTAAATTTATGAATGTTTATTCATTTTAATAAGTCGTAGAGAAGAAGAAAACTAAATAAAACTCTTTTTAAATGTAAATTAATCATATCTTATATGTTATATTGATAAATAGATCAGTAGGGAAGGGGGTTAATCGTAACTAGTCCGCAAAATTGTGTTTTTTTCTCTCTCTCTCTCTCTCTCTCTCTCTTTTTTTAGTATATTATTGCCCTTAATATCTAGCCTTTAAGACGTTATACACACGCTAAAATACTTTTTAGTAAATATTAACTATATTTATGAAAATTTTAGGTCAATTGTAAAGAAATTCTTTAAATTCCAGGAACTTAGAGACGAACTTGACCATCAGTCGGCATTGGAGAATTTAAAGAAGACTAAGTTGTCGGAAATTGCGAAAACTTTAACAAAGTTTATTAAAGATAATAAGGATGCTCTGTCGAATAACGCACACGATATGGAATCGACAACTCAACTTTTACAATCAGCATCGGGTATCGTTAAAATAATCGATTCACGCGCAATATATTTGTAACATTTCTCCTTTTCAATCATTAATAGACGACGAGGACCCTCTATCTCTTATTAGAAAGGAGCTAATGCTTATTCTAAAGAGATTTAATGGAGTAATTCTTGAAAAGAAAATCTTGAGCGAAGATAGGGAGAAATGTCTCAAGGCATTGAATGTAAGTAAAGTAAATGGAAAAGGGAGAAAGTTTTTCTTGATAGTGTAATTATTTTTAGCTTCCAACCGACACTCCTTCTCTAAATGAGATATTAGACAACGAATTTACGTCACAAAAGAAGAAAATATCGACTTTGGAGAGTGAATTATTAGAAAAGGAAAAGACGTTGAAGCAAACGACAAAGGCTAAATGGGATCTCGAAGATTCAAATAGAGAAATGAATGAGAAAATGACTAAAATGAAAAATGAGCTTTCCGATAAAACCGTTAAGCTAATGAATTTTCAAGAAGACATTAGAAACAAACAAATTGAAATTGATGAATTAAAAAAGAATGTTGGCCAAAACCAACTGGAGAATGGGGCGGTAACCAATCAAAGCAGACCCCAGTTAACTAGGCCTAAAAGTAAAAGTAAACTCAATTCGAAGTAAATTAAACTTACTCCAAGAAACTGTACGGTAATAAATAATTTATAGGCTTAATGCTTATATTTACACAACTAAGAGTAGTATTTCCTTAATTTTTCCCTTATTACCCTTTACTTTATACACCTATCCTCCAACCATAGAAAAAGAACAATCTTGTATAGTATTTCATTATTTCGCCCTTTTTTTTCCGCTTTCAATAAACTCTACACAAATAATAAATTCAAAAAAACACTATCCTTTATAGTTGCAAACAAACTAAACTATCCTTATATTTTTAATAATACAAACAATAATTAATAGCTTCGTTATAGGGAAATTAGATAAAAAAAAAAGAAAAGTTTGTCAATTGAAAAGTCATTTTAAACTTCTTTCGCTCTACTAACTACGAACCTTTTCTTCTCTTTTCTTCCCTTTTTATTTCCTCAATGGGCCTATAGTTACTGGTGAAAAAAAAAAGAAAAAGATCAATATTTCACCTAAACTAAAAAGAGGTAATGCATATTTTAAAGGGAAAAGAAATAAGTTATTATAATAATAATTATTATTATTTTTATTAATATTGATTTATAATATTTTGTTTTTTAAAAAAAAATTTAATACTTTTTTTTATTTTTTTTAGAAAATTTTTGTTATAAGAAAGTTTTAATTTTTTTTTTTATGGCACAGACATTTTGTTGTTGAATACAAAATATTATCATACTTTTTCTTCATTCTATTTCAACAGTTTCTCATTATTTTATTTATTTATTTGATCTTTAACGGGCTAAAAATCAAAGATCTGTCTAGCTTCTATTCCTGTTTTCTCTCTCTCTCTCTCTCTCTTAGTGTTATTGCAGTACGTTCTAGTTTCGGCAGAGTTTTCCTTGAAAATAGCCGCAAAGACCGAAAAGAGTATGTAACTCTAGGGATATTTTTCTTTATGACTAGGCATCCTTCTGTCAATTTTACTTGTTGTCGTTAGATGGCAGCACACACAACCCTTACACTTTACCGAACAGAAGCGTTCCTTTGTTCAACAGATGTACATATTTATAAAGGAAGGGTGCGAGGAAGAGAAGAGAAAAAAATGAAAGGCGATGACGTAACATTTTTCCCTAAGTAAATGCATTAAGATAAGAGGAAAAATAGAGAAAAGAAAGAGACCCTTATCTGTTGAAAAGTTAATTAATAGACAAGTGACAATAACGCTCTCTTTATAGTGTAATTAAAAGATAAATATGGAAAAAGCTTTTTCTGCCCGACCTTTTCAACTTTGATACGTAAAGTGACAGACTGATGAAATATAATCTTTCCTCGTTAAACGAATCGATTAACGATTTGTTATTATTATAATTATCAACAATTTAATGGATGACTTATATATGTACACATAAAAAAAATGATTATATCTTCATTTTATTACCATGTTACTTTACTTTTGAACTTTTTTTTAATAATAAAGAACATAACGCATAGATAGATAAAAAATGTTTAGTTGAATTTGTACAGATGTTATTCGTGTCCGCTTTTTTGTATTTAGTTATTAAATTTATATTGTTTATGTACATAAGATTATAAACTGTACGGCTATTAACTTTTACAGTTATTCGAATTAGCTTTGTCCGACAATAATTGCTAACAAAATGGTTACGTAATGGTTATTACTGTCGGCTCATTGTAGCAACTTAATCCCATTATTCACTACATGTATGATTATGGACGAAACGGAGGAGAAAGAGAGGGGAAAAGTTGAATTTTAGCGCAAATATCCTTTTCGTTTTTTTTTTTTGTTATTTGTTTAAAGAATCCATAAACTATACAAATAATTATATAAAAGATAGCTTGAAGATATAACCAATAAACGATCAACTAAATGAATCGATTGGTTGATATCTAAATAGAAATTTACATAATTATCTTTATTTTATTCATTTAAAATTGGTTAGCTATCTTGCTCTCGATCTATCTATCTTCGTCCTATCCTACGCAAATCTTTGAATCGATTAATTAGACCTAGCTTATTAAGTCTAGTTAATACATAATTGAAAAGTGACTCTAGATAATTAAAAGTAGGTTTCCCTTTTTATATTTTCTACCATCTAAAGAAGGAGGAAAAAGTAATAAATCGTTATAAATTATGGATTATAATATCAAATTATTTCGTACTAAAAGCTTTTCTTTTATTCTTTTAATAGTTTAATTGAATAATAGAGAGAAAATGATGTGAAAAAATCTTTATTAAAATACAAACAAATGACTTAAAAGCCTTAATACTACGTTATAGAAATAATAGGGAAATATGGAAAGCTTTTTAACATGGACAAACGGAACGCAGCGCCTTCTATCTAATAAAAGAGATATTAAGAGGGGGAAAGTGGCAGTCGGTGCGGAGTACTTCTTTCAAAAACTGCACGTATCTACCGAGCTGATTAAAAAAGTTTATACTCTATTTATTTTTATTAACTGTAAACTGTATAATTACTTATTATCTCTGTTTAATTTTCAATTGATTTTTCTCATCTCTTCTCTCTCTCTCTTCTCTCTCTTTTCTCTTCTCTTTTCTTCTCTTTCTTTCTTTCTGCTTTTCTCAAAACAATTCAATTTCAACAACAACAATTTCAAGAAAATAATAAGAAAACAAGTTAGATCATTTTTTTTAAAAAAAAAAAACAAATCCCCTTTCCCACATAAACTCTATATAGAAAAAAGGAGGAGGAGAGGAAACTTTTATCAAAGAAAGATAAGATTCTTCATGAAAAGGTAAACATCATTAAACTTTTTATAAGCTACTTAATACAGAAATCTTTTAATAAACATCTATTCTTCAAAAGCGTTAGAGGATTTAGTTAAATCGTTGAATTAAAGGTCATACATATTAATAAGCGAATAATTTAATATTTCGTCCACTCGGAATGAAATACCATAGATAGTAATAATATAACTAAAAAAATGCTAACAGATTATGCAAATTAATGTAAATTAGTAGAGAATTAATAAAATTATGTGTGTTGTGTGTGTTTATCAAAACATGTGTAGCTCTTTCATTTTCAATGAAATTGAGTTGGGTTTGTACTATTGAGTAATTCATTGTTTACTCGTGTCACTCTTCATTGATTTCATATGATTATTCTATCGATTACGAATAAAAAGTTTTTTTCCAACAAACATCCCGCTTTTAAACGAAATCTATATTGCTGTTGGGCAGTGGAATTCAACGAATTGAAAAAATTCAATAATATCGCTGTCAACTGCAAAAGAATCTGCAAAAAAAAAAAATAGTGGACAACTTTTTTAAGAGAAACGATTGAGATTTCTGCATCGTAATGCGGGTGGAATTAAATTTTAAAGAATATATAAATTATATAGGTAAAATAATATTTGATCCTAGTTCAATTGTTGCTAACTATAAATCATTGTACAAAGATTTTTTCTTTTCCTCTCTTCTTCCCTAAAAATTTTCTATAGGCTTCGACTATAATAACAAAAATATTTTTTTCTCGTCTTGTCCATAATCGCTTATGTTTTTTTATTTTTGTATCTTTGAACGTATTAAGATTGAATGATATTCATTTTCTTCTCTTCCTTTCCATTTTAGGATGAGTTCTACAAAAGTCAAATTTAAGTTACCTAAATCAAACAACAACTCTCTTCAAGATATTGACAAACTTATAGAAGGTAAAATAGAACAAGAGACAAATGGTTACCATAACAACGATTCAAGACAAGTGAAACCTTATACTCTGCACATAAATCCGGGATTAGGCAGTCATCTTTCCGAAAAGTCATGGACAACTCTTACGCAGGCTAAATTAGTTTACGATGGACTTTTAGCCGATCGCTGCTATCGGCTTGATCAAAAACTGCTTGGGAAAAAAGCCTATTTCGACGAAAAAATCAACAAATTACTAAAAAAAGATTCACAGAAGAATGAGGTGAGCGCTATGGAAACTGCGGTCAAAGGTCAATATCAATTGCATCTTTTACAAGAGACGATTATCAAGGAATTAACAGATATGATGAAAGATTATCAGAATAAACTGGATTTATTGACAGTTAGCCTTTTACAAACAGAAAAACATCGAAAAGACTCAAAAGAATAAACTTGAGAGAAATCCTTTGCCTCCCCTACTCTTCCCACTATATATACTGTATACATCCCTTCACCTTACCCCCGTTACAAACACTTAAAAGTTACAACTAAAAAAATAACACTTGTATTTACTCTAAATTGAATTTTTACGATTCGCATTTAAGTGAGAAATTTTCGGAACGAACTTTATTAGAAAACTCGTTTCTATCGCATTGTATGATTTTTGTTCTATTTCATTTGTTGTTATTTAAGAAGAGGAAGAAAAGAAGAGAGGAGAGAAGAGAAGAAAACAAAAACAGGAAAAACAACCGAGTTACTACAGCTATTCTTATTAATAAATTAACGCCATAAAACACTGTTTCTAATAGAGATTTTGGTGGAAGCAGTGGCGGTGGCGGCGGTGGTAGTAGTAGTAGCAGTAGTTTTAATTTTCAATAGTCTTATAGTCTTTTAATCCTTTAATCCATGAGTCAATCCTTGGTGTAATTTAGTACAATTATTATCTCGGTTTTCGTTCTCTAATTTAATGTATGCAATTGTTCTCTGGACAATAAACGAAAAATTTTTCTTTCTATAATGAAATATACATAAAAACAAACAAAACAGACAAACATACTCATATTCATTCAATTAAATTGTAAATTGTCTCCATCTTTTATACTTTAAATTGTTTATTGTAGGCTAGTTTTCTTTCAATTATTACCCTCAATGGACTGGGGAGGATAAGCTGTATGCGTATTACGTAATAGGTTTTACAGGATTTCATAGGTTAAGAGATTTTCTAATTACATTAATTACGTAATACGTATCGGTTTTTCTTAGAGATTAGTAAAGTGGTATATATAATCCGACTGAAGTGGAAATATGTAACGAAAGTAGCAGTTATTTAACTTTACGACTGGAGAGAACTTGACACGTTTTGTAGCAGTTTTTTTTATTGTTGCTTAAACTTTTGTTCATAACGTCCTATTCGTCATTCTTCTGCTGTCATAAGTAGCTAAAATGCGCTTTTCTCCTATCAGTTGTTGGGAAGCGTTAGCCGTGAAGAAATTTTCCTCAATACTGCGTGCCATTTAACGCAGCATGAGTTACATTTTCTTTTCCCTCAACTAGCTTTTTCCTATGTAAATATTCGCCAGTCGTCCCTTTCTCCCACCCCCATTTACTTTTAAGAAATAAATAATACGCGGTTGCTCCTTCCTCTACCTTCTCCCCTCTCCCCCCTTCAACCTTTAGCCCTTCGCAACCTTCTCTAACTATGTCATTTCACATCCTTCATTCGCTTTTCACTCATTCACTTACTCTCTCTCTCTCTCTTGTCTCTTGTTCTCCTTACCCTCTTCTCGTGGTACTTAAGTCGTTTGCAATGTTAATTATTCCTCGCTTTTAATCTCTCGCTTTTACGTGTCCTGCACGAAGATAAAAATCAAAATGATTACTTGAGCAGATGGTTGTAAAACTGTTAAATCCGTTATTTTCTTCGCTTCGTATTAATCACTGACTACAAACGAAGAATAGTAATTAGTAGGTAATTACAAACTTGGGCAAATCACGTCTTATCGGCGAATCTCTTCGTAGGAATTCAATAGGTTTTTTGTTGTTCCATTCAAAGAGTATAAGAGTTTAATGTATAGTATTTGTTATATATGTAGTTATTTGCTAAATATTAAATTGTTAGGTGGACATGAATACTATGTTTTCTTAGTATAAAATTTCAATCGAGTAAACTGTGTTCTTAATGGAAGACAAACTAGTTGTTGCAAACTATTAAAAGCGACATCTGTAGTCACCTTAGAGAATCGGAATAAAGGGGTGATAAACAAAGGCGGGGGCCGTCTTTGGCGGTTCAACGTTTGTTTAACGGCAAGAGTGACGGCGATAAAACGCCAAGGGAACAAAGACGTTTATTGTTTGAGGATATATTGCTTACTTATTGCTTTTCATTCGAAAAGATTAAATATAATGAAAGATGATACGACAGGAGATTAAACCTTCAGAATGTTTTTTAAATCCTTTATTAATTTATAGTAATCCAATCGGAAATTCAAATAATGAAAATGAAAGGAAAACAGTGGTAAAAAATTTAAAGGCAAACTATACAAAGTTTGGCACGAAAAAGGGTTATAAGCACTTTATTTCTGTTTTTACAGCTTTATAAAAAAGTTTTTATTCGTTTCGTTCAGGTTCATTAAGAACTGAATAATTTAGTAATAGTACAAAGCTGTCCGTTATCGATGATGTAGAGTTTTTGATGGGTTACTATAGAATTTCATCATCCTCTCTTCAAATAAACATTCCCTAATCTATCCGGTAACGGCAATTGATATTATTGAGGTAAACATCCAAAATCAATTTTCAAATTCCTTACAGGCTTCGGGTCGGTTGCCAGAAAGGCAACCTTTCTCCCTCAATAACCTGTCTACTACATCACTTTAACGCTCCAAGCGTTTTTTTCTCTTAATACTTGTTCGGTTGCGCCATCTATCGGACATTAAAAAAAATAAAATTTGATAAACACGGAAGCATTTCTCAATGGGTTTTATTAGTTTTTTTCCCCTCAAATTATTCGTAAAAAAATTAATAAAGGACGAATTTTATTAGTTAATCTTCCAGTGATAGTATAAAAAGCCTTATCATTAGACTATCCATGATATTTAATCTTCAGTATACAAATCGCCTTAGAAGAAATAATTTCCCCTTTATACAGTGACTTTTCCCTCTGCCACTCTCCCCCTACCCGGCCCCCTTTCTCTTTCTCTTTAATTTCTTTCATAATTTTTCTTAGTATTTTCAAATAAAAAAGAAGACAACAGGTTAGCTTCCTATTATGAAAAAAAATAATTCATGCCAATTCTGTTTGTTATAACTTAATGGATTGTGATATGCTTTTTCGTGATTCTCTTAACCCTTACTATTTAGAGCATTTAATAAAATATTCCATAATTTTTAGTCTTTGGGCTTAGCGTAAACACTTGAACAAGATATGGGTTAGACCTATTCAAAAGATATTGCCTCCATCAATTTAATAATGTAGCTTATCAACCAATAGCTCAAGGCTTTTCCTAATTATTTCTTAGTATTTCCTTTTAAACGAGACTTCCTTGACCTCTGATGAACCCTGTCAATAATTAGTTATTTCCGATAAGGAAGAGAACTCTCCAATGCTCTCTTCAAAGATATATTCTGTATTGTGTCGAAAAAAACAATATACAAAGAAGATATACAATCGAAAGTGAATAAGATTATTCACAGTAGAAAGAGGAAGTATTCAAGAAAAGGATAATTGAATAAACAAACAAAACGTATAAAAGTTGAATCGAAAAGTGGATGAGAGAAAAGTAGAACTAGGGAAGATAAAAAGGAAACAAAAAAGCCCAAATTGACTCTACCCACTAGAATTCCCAATGAACGAAGCATTAAAATAGAGTAAATTTAAAAAAAAAAACAGTTACAAATGATATTTTCTTTTGAATGTACAGCAAGTTTTGTTGATGGAAATTGTTTCTAAGAATATTACAATATGAAAAATGACTTTTACATTAAGTATTTTCGTGTTTAAAGAGTAAATTTCCTTGATATCGTGTCTCTCTCAAAAAAATCATGACTTAGCTACTGAAACGATTTAAGCGTATGACAATTTGCAAAAGCACAAAATTAATTTCTTTAATAGTACCGCTTTTAGCATTTGAAATATTAAATACTCTCTATTTGTGTTTTATGTTTAAAGAATACCCTATTAAGTTTACTTGAAACCATTGATACGAGTGTACAGTATATCTTCTAATCGAGTAGTGAAACCCTTCGTGTTTCTTTTTTCCCTACTATTTACTCCAATAGGACTTAAATAACTTTGCCTAACAAGTTTTGTACGTTATTTATCAATTGAAGAGTAGGCTGTTGAAAATGGTAAGCTGGAGGAGAAACTATTCCACGGTTGTTCTTTTCCCGATAGATGGCATTGTTTTAGTTTAATATATACGATTTGGAAATCAGCGTGAGAAGCACTTAAACGGCTTAGGCGGTTTTTGTCAATTTTCAACTTGATAAACGCATATTCGTTGTAGTAGATTGAAAATTGAAAATTTCACAAATAAAAGTAGTGGAGAGATAGGAAAAAGCTCGGCTCTCTTTTCTACAATAACATATTGTTTAATATCATTTAAAGGGAGGGTGAAGGGAATGATTTTCCCCCTCCTCCTCCCATTCTGCAGTTTTCATAATTAACTTATTTTCTTGGACTAAATTTTCATTTATAAAAGTGATTATTATAGCTTTTATTATTAAGATTTTTAAACTCGTCATTGCCTAATGTATATATACATTGCACATCATCGATCAATAAAAAATAGTACGACATATTGAATTAGATATTGTGAATACTGTACAACGCTTTGTTGTAATAAAAAAAAGGATGGGGGATGTGAATGAAATATACGTAAGGGGAACAGAATGGGTTACAAGAAAGAGAGAGAGAGAGAGATGGAAATGTTTCAAGTCTATTCCCTCTGTTAGATTAAGCATAGTGTTAAACTATAATTATGTTGGTGATTGGTGTTGTACTATGATAGAACGAATAAAAAGAGCTTTTCCGTTACCCTTATATATATGGGAGACAGTGAAGGATTGTTAAGAAAAAAAAAGATAACAGAGAAGTCAGAGGAAATAGAGAAAAGGAAAAGAGGAAGTAAAAGTTATTTAGTTTCAAATATGACAATTTATGAAAATATCTTTTATTAATAAAACAATTCATTTTGATCATTGCCTTTTAAACTTGTAATATGGAAAATTATTTGAGCGTAAGATGAAACATTTGATTTTTTTAGTAATCCTAATAAGCTTAAGGCTATTTTTAGTAGCTATTCTCTTTTTTTTATTATCTAATCTAGTTAATCCAATTATAGAATGCTGCATAATTTTACATATAATAACATACAATACTTTATATCTTTTAAAGCGTATAGGTTTCTGATAATATTTGCCATAAAACTAATCTCTATTGATGAACTAATCAGATGTTGTTTGCATGAGAGTACCAGAACTATTCTACAGTCAAAATAGTTACTGTGTTAAGTAGGTCCGCGAATTAGATCCCGTATTGGATGGTCAATTTTTGCACAGTGTTTCTAGGATGTAGAAATTCAAAAAATATAAAATTCGCTTAAGGAATCTATATTACGTAGTAAAATATGATATATATATATATATATATATATATATATGTATAGACAGAGAGAGAGAGAGAGAGAGAAAAGCGTAGTCTACTCCTTAATCTAAATAAAAGCGATATACAATCTATTATACATAAATGTCTCATTGATAAAAAGATAATATTTACGCGCTAATTTGCCTGGCAATTAGAATGATTTGCATTCAAAAAGTTCTTAGAAAATAAAGTGATTAGCTGGTGACAGGGAGGTGAAGAGATACAGAGAGAGAGAGAGAAAGAGAGAGGAGAATCATAGACACGCAGTCAAACTGACATGTAGAGAAACGAAGGGAGTGAATTATGTTTATTATTCAATTGTTGTAATTTCTTTGCTACGATAAACATATTCCCATTTCCATTCTTTACCCTTAAAACATAGGATTTAACAAATTTTCGTTAGACTTCCAATAGTAATAAAAGATTGATAAAAGACGCTAGAGTTATTTATGCTGAGGAGGGG